GAAGATTACTGAGTGGAAAAAAGCAGGATTTTCAAGAAGTTGTTCCCGTTTCCACAGGCACCAGTAGATTCGGTCTTTTTTTATGCTTTGAGGTTAGTTCATCGGCAACTGCTTGACTTCTCCGTGCACCGTATTCCTGCAGTCTTCGCAGGAGGGTTTTGTGCTGGAGTTGAAGAGATGATGCTGCTTTAACTGCACTCAGTGTTCGGTTTTCTTTCAAAAAGTTTATGGCTGCTTGGTCATCTTCGGCTGTTTTTTTCTTGGTCTTCCTTTCTTATGTTTCACCTTGCGTTCACCCGTTTCTTTGTCGTATTGATGCAGCACCCTGATCACCCAGCTTTGTGATTTTCGGACATGTTTGCTGACTTTGACTGAACTGCCTTCTTTCTCGTAAAAACAGTTTTGACTAAATCTGCATCAACATATCTGCCGCGAACCATTCTTCCGCCATATTTTACGGAACGAGTGAAACAAACAAAAAGAAAACAAAGCAGAAACGGAAGTTAAAAGTTGAATAAAACCAACAATATTATATTAATTTGCTTGAGCCGACGGTCAGTCGACAGCCGGAAGTAGTTTTGAACAGAGAACGGCCAGTTGCGCACTACGTACTATTGAACAGCGAATGGCCGCTTACGCATTATTTTGGGGTTTGGGCCTATGCGACCATTTTGTCCTAAGCTGTATATATCACCCAATATAGGCAGATGCGTACATCACAATGGTTATTCAAAAAACCTGCACATGGCATCGCTGGTACGGCAAACCGCACGCGGATGACTCTTTTAAAACATACTTTTTGCAAAAATTGTGCAATTTCTGAAGTTTTGTGGAATCTGCATTCAGGCAGCCGCATAGCAGGAATTTGTGCTACAGCCGACCTGCAGAGCACTACGTAAGCACTCTGTACTGATGAGGAAGAGCAAATCTCCCTCTGCTTCTTTTGTCTGTAACGTTTCCACACTCTCTCTGCAGTACTGTATGATTAACTCTCTCTTGCTTAGCCTCCAGCTTTTGCGCAGGCTCTCTCTCTCTCTGCTTTCCTATCACACATTCTGTTTAAAATTGTCTTTTAAACTCTTACTGGATAAAAATGAACGAACAAAATGACCGTCGTTTTGCTGTTGTCTACATTTTAACTCTTAAACCATCAAATTCTGTTGAGCCGTTCAAAAGTTATTGAAGACTCAACGAATGTTGACTACCGTTATAACTATTAAAGATTAGTATAGGATCCAACGTGTAACTGAAAGGTCAGGAAGATTCTGTCTGTTCTGAGCTTTTGCGTCTGCCTATCCTCTAACGGGGAAAAGATGGAAAGTAAAAGACACTAAAGGTTAGCCTCAATCCTGCCTGTTCAGTTGCCGATTCTCTGTCGGATTCCCTGTCTGCTGTACATCAGTACATGTATCGCAAAGCTAGACGGTCCGTATTCCAACAGCAATCATACAATCGTAGGGCAGCAGGCTTGCATTCGTATTGTCCGACGACAGCATTATTATTATTATTATTATTATTACATCAAGAGCAGACAACCCGCTAAACGGGACTTCGACGTCTGGTCGGCAACAAAATATAACTAAACAAAAACAATTTTACGACAGATCAACAGTTCGGAGAGCAAATTTAAAAAATCCCACACCATCAACACTGAGTATCTGCATGTTAACTTTTTTTATGCGCTCAAAGATGTTCCTTAGTCGCATGGCCAGTGTGCCTTCTCCGATCTTCTTCTTCGCTCTGGCTGCAATTCTCGTTAGGTTCCGCAGGTTGTACACCATTCCCAGATCCGTGAAGTCGATCATCCCGACCATATACCGCGGCGGATGGTATGCTTCGTGGTTGTAGATCTTATACAGCCAGACTGCTTCAGACTGCTTCCAACGGTCGTACACCGGCAGGATGCGCAGTTTCTGATACAGCTCGGGTGTAACCCGCTCCTTGTAATCAGAAATCGCCCGCAGTGCTTTCCGCTGTGCCCTATCTAATTTCTCGCGTAAAGCCGAAGATGCCGGCGACCACGTATCTGACCCGTAATCCAGATGTGGCTGCACACAGGCATGGTAAAGGCTCCTACGCTGAGGCAGATCCAGGCCGTCTTTCGCGCGGTTGATCATTGCGATGCCGTAGTTAACTTTTCGCAGTATGTGGTCATAATGCACACTCCACTTCAGGTTGAGATCAATGTGAACGCCTAGGTACTTAACCGACTGCTCCGCTTCCATCTTGTGACCGTTAATCATTACTGCAGGAGTGCTGGCTGTTCTTTGTTTCCGAGCAGATGTACATTAACTTGCACTTTTTCTCGTTGATGCACAGGGTGTTGTTTGCAAGCCAAGCCGTTACGTTGTTAACTTCAACGGTTAATTTCGCTGCTGCTTCTGTTTTGGTGGCACCGCATCCAAACAATACGGTGTCGTCGGCAAAACATTCTGCATCGCTTCCGTTCGTCATGTCGTTCGTATAGATCGTGTACAGTGCAGGTGCCATCATTGTCCCTTGCGGCACCCCCGACCGCACTGGTAGCCAGTCAGACACACGTGCGGTCATTTTCACTCTCTGCTTGCGACTGGTTAAATATCCATGAAACCACTTCAACACGTTACCTTCGATCCCGATCATTTTCAGTTTTTCGATGAGTTTGGCATGGGAAACTGAATCGAACGCCTTTTTCAGGTCTAGAAAACATACAGCAGTGACATGCCCTTTATCCATCGCTTTTCGCCATCTCTCCGAAACCTTAAGGAGCAGTGTTTCACAGGAGTGGCCTTCCCTAAATCCAGACTGCTTGTCGGAGAGGTGCTCCATTAGCGGATGGCGGATCCAGACTGCTGCTCCATTAGCGGATGACTCACCTCAATCTCCGTACTATATAGCTATCTGCGCTCAGAAAAAAATTATTGAACTGGAACACTTAATTGCTCGTTTCCCAGGACAAGAATGCTGTGTCCAGGATGAACAGTGCATGTAAAAATAACGTATTGCTATACATCAGAATAGTTCAGGCATTCCGAAATTCTACCCTAGAAAATCCACGTTGGAATTAGGCAACTCGTACGCAGATGAACGCATGGTTCCGATTTAACTGGCATCAGTGAAATGTGTATTTTCCCTATCAGTATCCAGTATCCACACGAATTTTTTCGACTGCAGTGTTTACAAAGGCAGTTTCGATCGAAAACTGCACCCATGTCACCGGTGTAGCCATAATGAAAGGGAACACTGGAAGCGATGGTCCGGTGGTATGGGTGCAGTTTTTCGATCTATTTAGGCTTCCTTTGTAAAACACTGCAGTCGTGCAAAAGAAATTCGGTGAGACGGTAAAATTAGCTTTTTTCAAATTTTTCACTGCATATTTTTATTATGTAATAATGATATAACCAGTTAACCACCGCCTACGTATTCAATTCCTCTACGGAGGAATTGTCACGAATGTGTTTTTTTGTTGTAATTCTCGAAAGTATGGACGCGACAGTTGCAGGAAAAATGTTGTATTTCGGAAAATTTGTTGTAGATTGATGTTGTAGGAGGGAGGGGCTTTTCTTCCTTCCTAGTGAGTTCCTACAACAATCGTAGCAAACTAGCCAATGGGCAGTTTTGCCAGAATCACCATAATAATGTAATTATATTTGTGCAGCTCTGTTACATGCAAATGATGCAGTTAATAATACTCGTTTAATTAATGCTGATTACTCGTTGATATCATATTTTGCGAGCTTTGTTTACTTATTATAGATGCGCCATTTACTGTTTACCTTTAATTGCTGACCTTTTTGTGTTGTTTAGTCACATCAAACTATGCTGCCTCGCTCCAATGTTAAAACCGTGTTGAAGTTTTTGATTTACACAGCGGGCTATGCATTTAACTGCATTTATGTTATATATATATATAACATAACTAATATATATATATATATATATATATATATATATAACTGTTATATTATATAACTGTTATATATAGTATATATAATATAACTATCATATATATGACAGTTGTTTGTGTAGATACTTCAGTATGGCATGCGACCATGATTGCTTTACTGATTTGTAAACTATTCGTATGATGAAACAAAATAAAATCCTGTTGCTTCCGCTTAATAATAAGAATAAGCGGGTTATAGCCGCCAATCTCGCCTCTGCTGGGCTGGCTCAGATTTTAGTTGTGGTCAAAGTATGGCCGGGAAGTGTTGCAGTTTGCAAAAATTTTACAACATTACTACAACATCCTGGAAACTACGACTACGAATGTTGAAATCGTAGTTCCCATTTTACGACTACGATTTGTTGTACAACTTGCTTTTATACATGTATATGCTGTATTACAGTGCCTCCGAGAACTCCGGTAATAATGCTACTGAGCCAGTTCGGAATAATCCCGCTCTTCACCAGATGGAAGCACCAGGAAGCACCTGCCTAAACAAGATCCGACACCCTTAGATATCCCATCAAGATTCTTAGCTACTTTCATCCAAGGATACGGCGGCCATATCCTTCCAATTTTGACTGCAACCTTTGGTAGCCGGGCGGCCGTCGGCAAAGCCGAAGTCTAAAAATTCAATTTTTCAAAAACTTTTTGAATCAGAATGACGCATCGTTGCAGGTGTGGTAACTAAACGCAGAAATCCCAAGCAGTTTAATTTATATCCGTCAGATAACCCAAATATTAAACTGATATCCAGTGGAATAATAAAGTTCAGTGATTAGTTTTCTTGGAGAAGTCCATCACGGGGGGACATTAATCCATAAATATCGATTAAAACAAAAAATATGTACGAGTATCGTATTTAAAAAATATCGTATTTAAAACAATTTTCAGCAACGATATTTGTGCACAAAGTACTTGCATTCCTTATTGGAAACACTTCTATTAAAATCTTTTTTCGAGTCTAATTAAAAATGCCTTGTACTGTATTCAAAGCGCAATGAATGAAGCGCAATGTATTTCAAGTCTGTTATTTCGAAAACTGGATCAGTATGTAAATACGTGGGCCCTCATCTAATTTCAATGCCGTTTTATTCAGAACTTCGTTCAATCTCTAACTCATGAAAATCGATCGTATTTATGCGAAACCCTCAGCAGAACAGCTATAAAGCCAGTGTCAAAAGTTATAGGACGCAGTTCAAAGGTATTATACAGAAACAATATTGGAGGTGACGTATTGCTTTACAGATCTGGCTCGGCGAACAAGTTTATTAGGCACTTGAGACTTTGATTCAGGAGGAGCAGCCGGCCCGCAAACTTGCAGATTCGCAGATTGTCCCTCGCACAAATCATCTTCGCCAGGACCACAGAGTTCTGCAGTGCACTTTATATCGATAGTGTCTTCCACGTTGGTGAATGCAAACGCTCTGACTGTCAGTTCATATTCTTTCGTTGCGGGTGCGTATGTACCTGTTGTACCGGTGCGCGGCCTAACGCAACTGAAATAAAAAGGTTACAAAGATATTACTGGCGATCTAGTTTTTATCCAACAAAAAACCTGTATCACAATCCAGCAGGGGTAAAATACGGTGTACCGCCACGCTGCTAAATTTCGAGTCACTTACCCATCGTCAATGAGGGTTAGCAAAGGCTCCTCTGCGGATGAAGGTTTAGCAGTACAGGTTCCCAACTTATAGGAAAGTCCCGTTGGAACGGCGCCGTCTGGAAAAATCTTGAACAACCACACTCTGTTTGAGCTCCCAGGGAGTTTTTCCAGCCTGTTAAGCACTACAGTTACTACAATTTTCGATACGATAATCCCTATGTTGACAATCGATACATCATCCATCTATTCCGGCTCCCCTTTAAACTCTATTCTATATTCTATTTTATTCCACATTCTATATTCCAGCTCCCGGCTAAATTAGCCGGCTGTCACTGTCACACAACACACACACATGCACACGCACCGGGAGCCGTATTACAGTAACTGTCACACAGCTAGAGGGAGTCGGTTTTACTAATTCTTCGAAGTACATATAAAGAGTGCACCTGCACCGGTCACTCGCGTAAGCCTTTCGGACTGATTAGGCTCCAATCAGATCACTGATATTACCTAATTCTGACAGCTTGACTAATTTCGACAACGGCGTCTCCATCAACGGTACCGGGATTCTGATTCCCAGTGGCGGGGAGTGGATCTTCGATTTTAACTTCGCAACTAACGGAATGCTTGGAAGACAACGGCTCAAGCGATATACCCTCTGGAGCTGCGGGAGAGCTGACGACGTAAATTGTCCACCTATACACTGTGTTTCCTGTTTGGACTTCGGAAACACCACCGCAGTCACGATGTCCGACCTCTATGGTCAAAGGGTTTTCGCCTGTGCCAAGACCTTTTGTTACACAAGTTTCCACGTTTGCATCGTCACCAACAACAATGCTGGATTCTGCAAGGTCACCGGCACTGTCAGTGACGGCCAAGGTCAGTCGTACAGAATTGAGCTGGCAAATTGCAGTGAGTTGATTTGAGGCAGAAGATCCCTCCAAGGGAATAGTAATGGGAGCTCTTAGTAAACCATCTACTCGTCCCAGTGATCGTCCAGGTGCACTGTTGGCAACACTTAATGCCACAACCAACATCAACACAGCCAGAATTTTCATTTTCCAGATGATAGAAAAGTTTTCCCGTCTTCAAGATATTGTGAATAAGAAACTGCTAAAGTACACTGACTGCTAAAGTGAGGCAGTTGGGAGTTTATATACATTGCTGTTGAGTGTTATCTTTCCAAAAACCGAGCGGACCATCATTATATACATGTGATAACCCGATTTACTACTTCCCAAACCTAGCTATTATTTGCACCCGGAAATCGCAATAAACAATTAGTACTGCTATCTGTTTCTGAATGAATTCACTATTCCGATACCGCAGATTGATAATAATATTGCTGTGCTCACGTCAGTTACCAATAACTTTGTATTTGTCTAACCATACGTTTGCCTCGTACATGTTATAGTCTACTCACCATCAAGTCTATTGCTCATTGGCTTGGCCAATGGTGCCTTTAGGAGAGGAGAACTGAGAGAACGGCAAGCCAAGAATGTCGCCCAAGTTCACCGCCACCGGAAGCAAGGACCTGATACTTGACTAACTTCGGAACCTTGCGGTCATCTGGGAATTACACAAGCAAGAGCACGGCAGCGCCAAAATGTAGCGATATGGCTGCATACTGTGCATAGGATTCGACACCGGGACAGTCTAGCCGCCGAAGCTAGGCCGTCGTGCATTTGCAACTTGTTCTCCTTCAAGGAAGCGCAGGAACTATTCAGCGGTGTTAAAAAATATCTCATTCAATGGCAAATACTAAAAATGTTACATGCAATAGGAATCCTTTTACAAAATTTAATGCAGCTTACGAAGGAAAGGCAGTGTGCGCTTCGATTCCTGATATTCCTGAAAATTACAAAATACGGTTCATTGAGCTTCTGCCGATGGCATACTACGAGTACAAGTACAGTGCCTCATACCACTACAAAATCGGTTGAAAGAAATAGTAACTTAGTACCCAAACAGGAATGTCCGTACAAGAACAACTGCCTCATTGTCTGATCGAGCAAGAGCAGTGTAACTTCGGAAGCAGCCGACTAATTAGTGCGAGTAGTTTGTCCTGCGAAATCACCCATTTTTTGTGTACAGCAGCAAGCTTTTCCTTAAAATATCCAAGCCAGATCGGGAAAGCGCAACCAAAAACATTGCTGAACTAGATCTTTTTTTGCAATTAGCAAGCTAATCGGAGTATTTTCACTTAACCCCGTTATCTGCCACAAGTTAAAAAAAGAAGAAAATTATTATTTGTCTTTGAATTGCTTTGAGACACCTCCATCGAGAACATTCTGCTGCATCGTCCTCGAAATGTTTTTCGATTTGTTTTGGGATAGTTGTCTGCTTCGTCCGTTAGCAACTTCATAAGCTGATGCTGAAACAGCTTCCTGACTGATTCTTTCAGAATTGCCTTAAAACATACAGTAGTGTCATAACATCAAGATAACCGAATACATAGTCTGAATAATTTTATCCTTTTCGCTTTGTATCCAACTATCCCTGCACGCACTTGTGAAAATACCATCCAGTGTAGGCACTTGAATAGCGTTGTAATCTGAGTTATCTCTCCCATGAAGTCGGCCGTATGTGGGCTCTATCGATGACATGTTGTTCGCGGGAGAATTCTGCTGATTATTTCGATAACGACGCGAATCCGCTTCCGATGGACTGGACAATGCAATATCAGTAAACAAGGCAATAAATCACAATGGTGCGCTCAAAACAATCCCCACCATGACGCTTATGCAAACTACAATTCTACCTGGAAACAATGGCAGTTTTCGATAAGTTTGTCGCTGTTTCCGAGTAGATCTGGTTAGCCAGTGGTAGCGACATTGAGCGCGACGCAGCATTAGCTGACACGGGGTTATCGAAACCGGGCGAAGTTACAGGAAGCGTCTATGGATGTCGAAATCATTGTGACATTAGACGAGGTCAGCACGAACATAAAAATTTTATCACTGTAACTCGTATATGTAACGTATATTTTTTAACGTTACATTTGCTTCCTGCTTTGCTTTCTGCTTCTCTTTGGCTCGGCGATAACGTTCTCGCTCCTTTTCTTCAAGGATTTTTGCATACTCCGCATCTTGAGATTCCAGTGCCAAACGATGATCGATGTCAACGTACGCACTATCCTGCTAAAACAGGAAACAACGACATAAGACATACAACACCAGGGGAAAAATAGAAATATGTAGTTTTTCAAATATTCATAGATATGTATTCGAATTCAGTATGAATCAAACTTTAAATTAAGAACAAGGGACAAAACTTTGATGTTCTTGAACAGGTTTCACATAAAAACTAACAAAAAATAAACATTGCATGGTTATTACTTGATAGTTTCATTACAATGATCACCAGTAGAACTGTACTTTAAATCTCCTAATAAATCATAAATTCTCCTTTACCAAGGATTTATTACTTTCACCTCTGCTGTAGGCAGCCGCATGTTACGTATGCTCCTGACTAAAGTTCAAGTGATAGGCTCTGACAAAAGTCACCACGCCAAAAATTTTTAACTCCTTTTCCGCTATTCTTTTAATTATCAAACCGAGGATACTCATGATAAGAAAGTTTGTTTTAAGACTATGTGCGCCAATACCCAATAAACACCTACCCGAGTAGGAAGTTTTTGCCAGCGGTATACACAGTTATGTAACTGTGAAAACAGCACTCGTCCAAAAAATTGAGATAACTTATTCTTAAACCAATTTTCCTACTAAATCACGGCAAAGTTATACGATTTCATTATGTTAGCGACATGATGCCAAGGCATTTTTCACAAAAATCAATGTCAGATGTTAAACACTGTCAACCTACTCGTAGCAGTCGGTTTATATCGTACGCTGCAAATGCTATAATTCTTTACCTGTTCCTGATTCTGAAGAGCACGAGCTAGTGCCTATTAAAACGCAAACCATCTGATGGCTGAAAAAATATCCATCTACAACAAATTCACATATTATACTTCGTCTTGCTGCTCCTGCAACCGTCGATCCAGTTCACTGCGAGAGCTGCCGGCATGCTTCCGAGGTGGCCGAACAGGTGCTTCAAATTTGTACTTAGCAACTTCATTCGACGAGGTCACAAGAAAGTCGGATTCAACACCACCGAGATTTTCAGACCTATCAGCGAAATCAAAGCGCGAACAGCATGGGACATGATGGTGCAGGTTTCGCTGTTCCGGAAGTGTGGTCTTATTTAATCGTTCTTCTTCCTGAAGTTCAAATGCCAGCATCTTCAATACAAAACGCAATTTACCAGCGTGAGATCTTCGAGAACCACTGCTTCCTTACATTCTGCTCCAACTTACCTGGTCCTGATGTCGCCTCCTGTGGGTGTGTTCATTTTGCTCCTCCACGAGCAATTTCTGCAACCGTTCAGCAACCGCATAATCCTGGTCTTCCCTGTTCGAAAAGAAAGATAGCACGTAGCATTTAAAGCCATTTAAATTATGTGGCTAATTACAGTCCGATACCAAAGCGCTCATGCAAATGCCATAATAAATCTTGACAATAAATACATAGCTTTGGAAAATTACCGCGCCGCTCGGCCAGTAAACAACAGAGTCTATAAATTAGAGTCCTACATTTCTTTTAGTTTTCGTGCACGCAGAAGTTGCTGGCGCTGGATTTCATCCACTTCCTCGCTGTGGCTTTTCTTGGCCACTTTAATATCCGTCTGGATGGTGCGATGGTGTTCTTTGTTGCGTCCAAAGTGGTTGCGAACTGTAATGGATACCGTCCAATGCAAACTTGCCGTGATGGTAAAAAATTATAGCAACAATGGATACATCTTGAACTTGACACCTTTCATGAGTTACGTAAACCTGTCCATGAAACTCACACTCATCTTCTTGCAACCGGTGTGCCAGGCCTTCATCTTCGTGAACAACCCATTGCCGACACACTAAAAAACACGAAATCCCGGTCATTAGGTGGAAAAGCATCAAATCTACAGTACAGCAGACTGTAAATCTGCGGCAAATCTGGAATGGGTTTTTTAAGAAAAAAACCCATTCCAGGCTTACAACGTAAACACAGAATATTGTAGAGGCAGAAATGCAAACAACAGAGATGACAACGAATAGAAATAAATGTACGTAAATACAGCACATACTAATTATTAAATATATAGATATTCATGTTTCGACAGCTGTAGTTGTAGTTCCACAAAACAAACAAACAAATTTTCTCATTTCTGTAGAAAAAAATTTAAGTCTGTTTCCTGGTTTTCGTTTCGTTTCAATCAAAGCAAACCTTTTTAATAAGAATGCCCATGAAATCCTTATAATGTAAAATTTTGCAACCAAAGCAAAAATATACTGTACAGTAAAGTCAGTAATACAGATAAGTACATACAGAATTATAGAAATCATCTAACTAAAATTAATAGAATATTTCTATATTTACCAAAGTTAATAACTTGGATTTAACAAACACTATTCTTTCGTACATTAGTCGATGGAAATAAATCAGTTTTTCATTTTTGTGATCAACAAGGCTTAGAGGTTATCGTCAAGCGGAAGAAACGAATAACAAGTCACGAACATTTCGAAAATCAGTAACGCGTCCAGAAGCCCTACATAGTTCAATGGACGATGTCACTGTCCAAGAAAGTACATAGTACTTTCTTGGACAGTGTACATACATTCGAATTACCAAAGTCGGATCGCTACTTCAAAAGTATTCATAAAAGCCTGTTAAACGAACATAATTTATTTATTCGTATATACCATGTAATAAATTCGGTTTTTAATTTATAGCAATTCGATAAGCTGTGCAAATGCGCTTTGCCGAAGTCGATTAAACACGAACAATCATTTATTAACTATTACTACATCCTTTATCGTCGTCGATTCAGATTTAACTTAGGACCGTTATCAGTTATCGTACGTCGCTGTTTCGAAGTTCGTTAAGTAAGTGCGAGAAACAAACAAACATATCGCACAGAAGCACCTTACCGTTTTTGACAAGTCCAGGTTGCGGAGTTGATTCATCGCTTTCCCGATCATTCTTCGTCGCAAAAGAATTTATTTGCGCCATGCCCGATTTCGACATGCTAATTCCAACTGGATTAAAGGGTTTACTCCGTTCTTGCCAATTGAGGTCTTCGCAGATGATTTTTGCACACTTGAAAAACAACTCATTAGTAATGCCACGGCCGGTGTGGTGGATTTTTAGCTCGATAGCATGGCTCATTCATCTACGCGGTGATGCAGCACACAATAACCCAGACATTTCACAATCATGAAGCGGGTGAGTCAGCTCCAGTTTGTGTTCCAGTCAGAGCAACCCTCTCTCTGCATGTTGTCTGCTAGACTACCGTGCTACACTGCACCGTGAACCGCTTCAGCGGCCACGAATGTGAGAGCATAATCAATCATTTCCATACCGCTTCAGCTTTCATAATTGCAGTTTACGCTTTCCTTTGGACATGTATTGCAATACATATAAATTATATTCTCTTTATTCTGTACCTCACAAAGGTAGAGGAACGCTACCTGTACACTTTCAGTGTTTTATGCAACGCAGGTGGTCACTCACAGTTTTCAAAATAATGGTGGGTGTACAGCAGTATTACTCAAGTTTATCTATGAAAACGGCTGCACATTATGGCCAGTTTATGGCAACACCACATTTAAATACCAAAATCTAACTATACTATTTTGGTCTTAAGTATTGAACTCAGTAACAAAATGACCATCAAATACAACGTAATTCACTGATAATTTAAGGACCGACAAGATGGCCTTTAATACAAGCAATAAGCATTTTATGCGTTGAACAGGTTTTTTTGTTCTGCTTTCGGATTTGGATTAAAACAAGCCAATAGACTACTTAGCTAAACAGTAAAAAAAGTACAAACACGGGCGCATGTATAAGAATGAGCCCAAAGAAACTGCATAAAGAAATTTCAATTCATGCAATGTACAAGGACTACATAACCAACAAAACAAATAAAGACATACGTGTACAGCGGCGTGCAGCAGCGGAACCCAAAGCAAGGAATGTACCCAGGCACATGCAATTTACATCAGCAGCAAATAATTTCCAGCCACCGCCCAAACGTTCAGCTCCTCGTACTCGTCCAAGCATTCTTGGATCTGATCGCGGGTAAAACCACGATCCACGCACTTGTCAAATACTGTTGTCAGTACTAGCTTTTTGGCATTCTCGTGCGCAAAAAGGTCACGAATGGTATGGAAAATACGATCGACTGTTTGCATGGGTCTCCTAAGGACAGGAAGGGTTAAAACGCACCATAAATTTGCACAAAAAAACGGGAGGTGGATGCCTACTTTTGACCCTTTGAAGGACCAACCAGGGACGATTTGGACTGTTCCAACAACCGAATGGCTTCCATAACATCCTCTTTTTCTACCATATTTCTCAACCGAATTCGCGCCTAGATGGACATACAACATAGAGAAAACATATTACGGGAAAAATTAAGCGTCTTGTTGAAGTGCCGTCATAAGAAAAGACTGCAATGGTTAAAATGCAACTCTAGAATGATAAAATAAGGTAAACACCAAACAGAACGTACTAGCGCAGTGGCCAAACGCAGAAGTCCAAGTAGGGAACGAGCCGATGTGTAGGTGGAATGCTTAGCATTATTTCGCGCTTCTCGCCGCATTTCGACGTAGCAAGTCGTAAACAACTCCGTAAGATCTTCTGGAATGCTCGGCATGAACGATTTAGCGGTTTGGATATACCGACTGCAAAGAACAATCCCAAATCATTAAAGGTTTCAAGAAATCCATCATTACATATCCCGTGTCATCTAAAATTCCGTCCGAATCAAGCTAATTATTCGAAATGTAAGTACCGAAGAAATTTCATGTCGAACGGTTCGTGTGCATCATCAGCACGAGGAGGTTGCTTCTGGTTCATGTGCACATACGTAATGTGCTGGGCTAACCTGTTGAAAAACCGGGTTAGACTCATCACATTACATTTTACCGGATGGTGCCAATATCGCGTTAGTTCAAGGACTGTACCGCAAATCACTATCGCGATCAGGTTTATCCTGGATTAACCACAACAGATCAAAACGCGAAAGAAGAGCCGCCGGTAACTGAATGTTAGCTTCCACGGACCGTTTTGGATTGTAACGACCAAATGCGGGGTTCGCAGCGGCGAGAATGCTGACCCGCGCGTTCAGACTGGTCATAATACCTGCCTAAAAATTAAGCAACTGTATCTACAAAGATGAAAGATCTAAGTATACTTTGCGGTATATATGCAACAAATATGCTAAATTTTTCTTTCGATATTTATTCTTTTTCCAAGCCAAACTCAACCTGTGTTCAGTGTTAGGGCAGTATACCTTAGCAATACTGATGGTTTGTTGTTCCATAACTTCGTGGATGGCAGTACGATCCGAATCCATCATTTTGTCGAATTCGTCAATGCAGCAGACACCTTGATCTGCTAGCACGAGTGCGCCTCCCTCCAGAATCATCTCCCCTGTGAGTGGATCTTTCATCACAGCGGCGGTGAGACCAACACCCGAGGATCCTCTGCCGGTGGTGTACTGGCCTATGACGCGAACACCGTGTAAAACAGTGAAACATGAGACAACTACATTGCATTTGAGTCAACCTACTGCGTGGTGCTAAGCGGTCAATGTAGCTCAACAGTTGACTTTTCGCGACACCAGGGTCTCCCATCAAGCAGATGTTGATAGATCCTATCAAAAATTATTGAAACTATGCGCTATCGCAAGCAATGTAAACAACATACCGCGAATTTTCATTCCGCGAGGGCTGCGATCCACTCCACCAACCAACAAAAGTAGTAAAGCCTTTTTAATATCCTGATGACCGTAGATTTCCGGAGCAATACTGTATGCTAAGCGCTCATAGAGATCTCCTGAAACCACAATTACGAGCTTTTGGACAATGAAACTCTACAAGACATCATTGTCCAAATCAGAAAATAAAATAGAACAATCATCATGTTTGAAGTCTGCGATCAAACCGTTGGTAACATTTGTGAGCATATGCGGCATCCACCCATGGGATACACAGCCTGATCACAACAAAAATCCGCGTTTATGGAAACCTGGACTATTCATGCCATTACTTTGCACGGTTGCAACTGCATTCTATCTCGCTCACATCATCTATGTTTACTTCACAACTATTTATCCACTGGTAAAAAAAACTGCTATATCGTTGCATGTTCTCGCTAATGTGCAGTTCGGCTTATTCAACGTACTTGCACTTCTCGCATCTTGCTACAACAACCGAAATCTTATGCGCAATGTCGAACAACTTAGCAGCGTCGTTTCGCCCTCAAATGCATTCCTCAGAAAATCCACGACAGTGCTCTGTGTCTACGCGATTCTCCAAATTGTTGGGGTAATTTTAACTACTGTCATCCTTTATGCCAAGACTTCCGTGGTACTCGATCAATATGACACCACATTTGGATGGACAATTTACGCTCCAGTTTTGACAGTAATCCTGTCGGTTGCAGTAGTTTTTGGTGTTGTTATTCGAAGTCTCAACATTACAATCTTCACTGTACTATTTGGTGCAGCAGGCCTCCAGTTTCGAGAGTACAGTAAAGCCATCAAGGAAAACGAAATCTTATCAATACAAAACTGGGAAAATCTTTGCAAAGCGTTGCACCTTCACAGTAAACTGTCTACAACAGTTTCTCGGTTAAATGATATGTTCGAACCGGCCACATTGCTGTTCACAGGAGGTGACATTGTCTCTGTAATTTTTATGATCAGCACTGTTTTAATTCACAAGATAGAAGCACCGCTTGGTTTGTATCTCACGGACAACATAAACCATACTGTGGTCTACTGTGCTGGAGCAACTGCATGTGGAATTTTAACTGCTGTACGAGTGTCGATGGCAATATTTCTCCAAAACGAAGTATAAGCATAGCAAGCAGGAAACTTAGCAGTTCTATGTGCAACAGTTGGAATTTGTGTAGGCAAACGGCGTTATTCCCACGCTCTACCGCATGCAAGAACTGAGCAACATTCCTCCAAATGTAGAGCGGAAAATCAAAGTAGCGATCGGACGACTGAACCACAATCCCATTCAGATTACAGGATGGGGATTATTTACCCTGGATAAGACTTTTGTCCTGACAGTAAGAAATTTAAGAAAAAGGTGGACAAGGTTTCTAAAACCTTATGTTCTCCCCTTATCTACAGGTTCTTGGCTTTCTGGTCACGTATCTCGTACTAATTGGACAACTGGGAAATGACGAAGCTAACCAATGCTTCTGCAGCTGCACCAAGGTCTAGCATTACAAAATATAATCCACAGCTTGACTTTCCATGGAAAGCTGGTTTCAACTTTCAAGTGACAGTTCTGTTTATTGTTATTAATTTACAAATTGGCTACGCGAATTTCGATAATTTTGGGAATAACCTCCGAGTTCAGTAAGTGTAACCCGTGCCAGTATCAATTTACCTTGTTGAGCAAGCTGATCCCTTTCATCTGTCGTAAGTGGATCCAGTCCCATTTCTTCACTTTCCGATTTGTTCATAATGGCTACCCGCTAGCATAATATCAAAAAAGTTTTGAGATTTAACACTCGATCCATTTAACACTCCATCGAGCAGAGACTTTACACCTACATGAGCTTCTAGAAATGTGTCTGACATCAGTCCCATATGGATAGCCCCGAAGCCGGACTTGAGCATGGGCAGGAAAATTCCCGTCACACTAACATGATCTCCCGGCAGCACACGTCGACTCATTTCACCCGCAGCATGCACGGTCATGCTGCGGGGAATACTTCCGACGGGTACACTGTCCGACTGAAAAAAGTTCGTTTTTTTCAAAACAACAGAAATTTAGCCATGGCGCGAGAGGCTGTTTACATGCTCCTGAACTTTAAACTCCTGGAAGCGGACGAATTTCGAAGCGCGCGTCTGAAGGTACAGGCGACCACCCGACTTGTTGGTTTTGCAAGCCACACTTGGGCAAAGAAAAAGTGGCATAAAAGACGGAGAGTTGATCTGCAATGCAACTCAGTTTTCAAATAATTAGCGAAACCTATTTTTGTTGAACCGATCACTGATTCAAGAGTCAGAAAGCAGCAAATTAAGTAAAGAAATGCTGATGTAGAATATTGCTCCGAAAAGATCGTTAAATCATGACGATAGATAGAAGCACACGATTTGCTAAATTAGTCCTTAATTTGCTATTAAACTACAATAATAAAGCATATTAAGCGAAGAATAACATCAGTACACGGAAAAGAACAAACCGTTTGGAATGTATCCGCTCCGCATTCATCACATGTGTAAGTCGCAACATGGATCAGGGGTTTCACTTCAGTGCAGCGGGTAACAATGCCTTTCATCAGCACCAGTTTGCCCAGATGATCGGCTTTAATATCACGAACGCTCACGGCCTTCTCCGACGAACGCACTTTGAAGTAAACCTCACTACAAAGGATGAAGGTGACACAGCCCTGAAAAACCTCCTTCCTGATTTCTACATACAAATGACGGAGAAGGTCCGCGGGGAAGCGCTCCTCGGGTGCTGGCGGAGGTTGTTGCAGCAGCGGAATCTGCCCCGGCAGAGGCACGGGATTTCCGACTGGCAGGACTGCATCGTGCTTCAGACGGTTCTCCACGTATAAATCAATGTTGTCGCGCTTGTCTTCTTCAATCTGGAAATGCGTGAAGAACAAGTTACGAAACCGTATGATCGCATCTTTAAAAATTGCATGTCTGGGCGAGCACCAAAACATTTTAACTGCAAAACGACTAGAATACTTCATAAAAAATCTAATTTACAAAGCCTGATTAACGAGGGAAAATACGAGTATGGTCTGTATGGATCGAAAATTACAATCCCAAGCCATTTAACCAACCTCTGCAACTTTGTACCGAGGCAGCAAATCTGCAACGGCATCCTGGAAAATCTTCACGTAGCGTCGTGTGTTCTTCTCGACGTTTTCGCACAGATCGTTGTTGAATTCATGCAAATGATCCAAATCAATTTCCAGAGCTGTCTGCTCGCGATGTGCGATTTTTCCCTGCAAATCAAGAAAACAAGCAGGAGCCAAAAAAAACAACGAGGATATACGACTTTTTTAAACCAACTACGACTTTTTGAACTGAAGAATCCGAATTCCCACCAGTCTCACTCATCAAATGACTTGCGGGCAATTAACGATGATCATCAAAATCCCAAAATATAATTATACCGCGTAAAAGTTTAATACTGTCTATTAGCATTAAATTCTGTTAACAATAAAACAAAATAACTGCAACACCGAAGTTCGTGAACAGATTATTGATCATTCATATTTTATTCATTAAGCAAAGGAAGAAAATATGCGCTTTAAGAAATATTAAATAAAATATAAGCAATGCAAACAGCATGCAAAATTTTATCCGAAAACAGATCACTTTTCATTAAGTCATAACTTGGTCCACGTTCACTACATATAATAATATAAGTATTAGGTAATCATTGTAGTGGAATAAGCTTCTTACCAGCTGATCTGCGTACACATATTTGATCTCATCACCAATCTTTCCTTCGTATGTGGAAAGAAAATCCTCAATTTTCTCTGCAATAAGAAAGTGGCGTGGCGTGAGAAACTCTAACTGAAATAACAATTTTAAAATTTTTAACAACCGAAGCTAGATTTCAATCATACTCTTTTCCTCCCCGTAGTTCTTGTTGCTGGTACGAAGATTTAGCGTTCCGTTCAGCATTGTCGCAGCCATACTTATCCGAAAACAAACTTACGACCCACGATAATCTAAGTATTTCAAATCAATAAAAACCGTAAAACTGCACAGGATTTCATAAATCAAAGCAAATTATAGCATTAAACTAATTACAGCAGTAAACTGAGGAAAGCGACTGTAAAAGCCGTGACACGGTTAACGGTGGAGAACCCAAGCCATCTATCCACCAAATGCCTTTCCAAAATTTCTGACCAACAAAAGGCGGACGGATGCACTGGCGCATGATAGCGCCATCTCGTACGCTAATGCGCTAATGCACGCACATCGCAGAGCCCAGTTAGCGGGTATTTAAGGGCGTTAGCGTGTCGTTCGGCGCAACGGATTCAATGTAACATGCACAATGCAAATGCACGTTGCACTTACGGCTTTCCACGAGGTCGGTGCATTTATACAGAATTCGTGCAATAGCGTTCGTTTTGGTAAGCTCAGCGCGCCATTTGGGCTATTTAATTTTTACAACTGCCTCTTGATGAAGGGTTCCTTTGCGACTTACGCCCAGTGGATCAGTGGCCCTTTTCAACATTGGTTCACGGACTCAGTCATGAGCGTTTAAGCCCCGCCCCGGCAGATCGTATTCTTATGGCAGCACTGGAACGCAAATTTTTGGGCCAATTTAGTCCACAACTCTGCATAACCCAAAATCCCTTTGCATGCATCACAAAAGCTATTGTGGTTAATTTTTGCGGTTTTAAAGGACGCCGACGTTTTTTGGAATTTTCTCGTTTTAACTGATTTAACTCCATACGTTTTGCCTATTATGTTATAAAGAGGCCACTTATCTATGTGCACGGATGTCTTTTATGGTTTTAGTTGGTTCGCTTTGTTTAAAATCCGGTCATGATGGCATCTTGGTAGCCGAAATGACCCGCCACGAGTAAAAATGCATGCCGTTAGAATCTTAGATGACGGATCCAGAATAATTGGTCCTGAACCTATATAAAGGAACTTGATTGTCCGTTCGGAATACTAATTGATAAAGTCGCTTGGCTACCGGATACATTAGTAGCCTGTAAAAATGCCCGCACCAACAGGTGGTATCGGCATATCCGAAGAGTTTGTCTCTTCGGCTCCTCAAAACGACGAAGTAAGGGTTTTTCGTGATGAAGTCGGAGAAGGTGCACAAGAACCCTCTTCCGACCCCGTTGCGCATCCAACACGCGATAAAATGCGTGAAGAGAAATTGGATCTAGTCGAAAGGGAAGAAAGGGAAGACAGAAACGGGGAAAGCGAGGTAACGCTGTTCGATATTTTTGTTTTATATTTTTCTAGGTTATGTGAGGGTTCGATTTTTTATCCTAGATACGTTATGGCAACCATTATTGATTATTGCCTCGTAGAAATTGATACAGAAAGTATCCTTCTTTTATACATGAATTTTATGAGTGTTATGACGGGAAAAACAGCTGTTGAATAACGCGGCTTGCTTTCTCGTGTATCGTCTCAGTGAATGATTTATCGTAAATTACCGGTAATCATAAAAGCGTGAAATAGCCGTAAAACTACGGGTCTTCGGAATTTAAAGCATGCTTGTCTGATTTTTGCAGCGTCGTAAACATGTGGATAGATTATTTGCATCGCAGGCGGACGCTTACCGTAAGTGTTTCATCATTTTATGTCTATGTTTTAACGTTGACCCTGAACTTCTGGATCCATGTTTTTGTTGGTCGTTACATCACTCTTGTGCAGTTTGGGAATTTTTTTACAAAAAATTTTCTTTGACTGCTTTCCGGTGAAATTCGAAATCAATACGACTGATGGTGGGTGCAGTAATATTTTGATTGTTTGATGAGCGGCTGCAAACTAGTACACATATTTCCTTTGCGATATCAGAATGTTTGGCTGCGCCTGTGTCAATAACTTCTTCCAGTGCGATATGATTAATCTATGATGACGTGAGAGCGCAAATCAGCCAGTTTTCCTCGGCTGTAGGAGTGCATTGTATTCACTAGATGCGAGTTTATTAGTTTGAAGAATTTTACAGATTATTTATTGTTTGACTGGAGCTGATTAGGCCATAGTAGTCAGTCAAGCGCATAAATTCCAACTTGTGAAACGTGCAGGCGCAACAAGTGGCCGTTTTGCTGAGTTTCGGAGGGGAAAACGGAACGGCGTTTGGTTAGATGAGTTGAAACGCGAGAGACCGGGAAGAGAGAAAGAGAAGAAAGGAAAGCCTGATTACATTAAACATGTGGTCTGTTCTGATGCACCGAGATTGTGCACTAACTAATGATGGGGTGAGGAACGGCAAATTCTTCAGCAACTGAGACCGTACGTATCGGCATCCCCTCGCGACAGGGACATAGACCATCATTTATCGTTCTGAGTAACTTCTGACTTTGAACAAAAAAGCCAAATTTTGGCAGGTCGAATTACTGTAATTATGCTAAAACTTGCAGACAATGATCTGTCACTATTGCTCCGAAACGTAATGTTCGTGCCATGAAGATCCGTACTGGCTTGGATTTCGTAGTTATCAGAGATCTTTACATCGTGACTTTAGTAGGAATTTATTTGGTAACTTGCTCTGTTCCACAATCAGACGGCATATGATTTGCCTAAAATTTTAACGCGGTAGAACCAGCCGTCTGGATAATTTAAATTTAATGAAAATATTAAAAACATTTAGGAAAAATTGCAAGACCATTGAAACATAGTCGCAGTCCGGATTGAGCATACTTCTATGGATTTGTTGCGGTCGGTGCATTGTTGCGCAACTTGTTGAAAACCTCTCCGATTCACACGCTGGCATTTGCTGCTGTAGGTTCAGTCTGTTTGTAAGGACAGCTACAGATTTTAATGCAGAAGTAACACGTAGGCCATGAATCGTGACAAAGTCACAAAAACCAGCGCTCTGTTGCTTAAGATTGTCGTTCAAAAGCCGGTATGTTTTTCTTTTAGTAAAACCTACAAACATTAATGGTCTCCGGTGAGAAATTGATAATACAATTGCTCTTTGTTAAAAGTGGGTCCTGAATAGGAACGGAAACGTATAGCATAATATTCGTTTAATTTGAAAACAAGTGGCAATACGAATTTATTACTATCCATGTATTTTAGGACATGCACAAGCAGCGCAACCATTTCCTAACTTTGCTCACAGCTACTTTGCGGGAATGCATGCCGGGCATTCTAGTCAGTATGGATTTCATCCTGTGGTTGGACATATACCTGGAATCCCTACTGTTCCCTCGCCAATGGGAGCTATGCAAATGCCGGTACGTTTGAAGAAAATAGCTGTAAATGTTTGTTAAAAATGTGTTGCCAGCTAGCGTGTAATATCGTCGGTCAGCTTGGTCGTATTGTCCAAATGTGAGCGAGCAAACAGTCAAACAAGCGCCCCTCTGTTGAATCATGTCTGTCAAATTGTTTGCGAAAATCGGTGTCGAGGATCAAATTTGTTACACCGTTCAGTGTTGGATGTGCAAGGGTGTGTTTACTTTTTTTCTTGGTGCTAACTTGCTTGAAAATTTCACGGTTTCAAATTTTAAACTTAATTTTTTTCGATGAGGGTTGCATATCTCGCTTATACGAGTATTTATCAGTACTGTGCTAGTACTGCGCATTATAGTAATTACTTCTACTTTTGGCGCTTTACCAAAGTCGTTTTTTAGAGTTTTCTTTAACGCTAATAATAGTTACTAGTACTTCGGCGTAATTTCTGTTATTATTTCGTAGTTGATTCAGTAAAACTAAGTTTTCTCCGTTTTATAAGCTTTTGTTTGAAGGACTATGTTATTGATATTGCGGAAAATTTGAATTTCCTGTCTTGAAATTGAATTTTTACTGGGGGCTCATAGTCAACATTCTCCTTATTTAAATTTAAGACAAGGCGCCGGAAGTGCATGTTGTCGGCTTGTACGGTTTTATCAGCAATATAAAATAATATCTATTCTGTTTTGGAAGTATACAACTGTAAACATTTTTCTCAGGAAGTCTGGTTGCCGTTGTTAGAGTGCGCTGTCTTTTTTAGCGTGGAACGTGCTATGTGTAACGAGATAAGCTTTGGATTACGCATTTGTATAAGCTGTTTTCATGATCTTTATTATTATTTTATGGCCTGTCTATCGGCACGTTATGGCTTATCCCTATTTAAACCCGATGTACATCGGCGCCATTCTCTGTGTGATCTGACTGATCTCTGGTCTCCCGCTGTGTACCAAGAGCAAGTGACCGTAAAATTTTGTAAACTTTATGTGCGAGCAATGCGTAACAAGAGTTCTCAACTTCTCATATGTTAGGGCTTGTTTAGAGTTTACCTGTTTTTGTTATAGAGTTTTGACTAGGGCAAACAGTGGTGTTCTCGAGAAAGTTAACTTCATTATTGAGTTCACAACAATTTTCTTGGTCAAAAACTGAAATAGAGGGAAGCATTTTTCGCTGTTTTATCTGTAAAAAGTATGAACATAATCTTCTGATACGTTGCTATTACTGCTGTAATCGCTCCTCTTTGTCATGTGTGTCTTTTAATCAGTCATTTGCAATGAATTTCTACACTGAATTGTTATTTCGCTAAATTTGGACACGACGCCGGTAGTGCAGGCGTTTGTATAATTGTGTCTACTTAGAATTGGGACCTATAATGCCGTCCTGACGCCCAGATAGGGTATCAGTCCCTTGAAGCTTTCTTTTTCGGGTATGATTGTCTTAATGGATGCTAATTATTGCTGGTGCAGTGAATAGCTACCGAGAGGGATTGGGAAACGAGATTGAAGATTTCGTGGCTGTTTTGTCTGTTGTACATGTGCGAACATGTTGAGTAGTTGATCAATAGACTTTTGGGACGAGTTCTTCTGTCTCGCCTTGTTGACGACCAGCCACATCGACGCTTTCCCCGTGTCCTGTTATAATTCGTTTCAGCAGAAAAGACATCTATTTTTGGAATGTCTCTCAGGCGCTTAATTGCGGCTGTGAGATACTTACCGTTCAAAGCAATACAATTTTTTGTATACTTAGGTGTGATTAAGCAAAGCTATAGTTTGGCATGTGTGGTGTCACACAGCAGATTCGCCTCGGCATTAGAGACAGTGATGTTTGCTGAACCATACGTCATACTTCATCATTGAAGCTATTGTCTAAAAGACGGTATATTGGAAAAAGCTTGTATACCGCTTTATATCGATAAAGTATACTTGTTAATATTATGATATTTAGTGGCTAAGTCCGTGGTTTTGGAATGCTGAACTTAAAGGGAAGCACCTTGGTTGAAACTTGTACGCAGCACATAATATAATAATGGGTTCACTTTTGCTTTCGGAATTCCGGAAAAAAAGTGAAGTCTTATTACGGTTTCGGTATTGAACAATTTTGCGCATTTTGGGTTATTGATTTTGAGAAAATGAGAGGCGCTTTTAGATTCTCTTAGGTGGTCTGGTCGTTGTGACAATGTGGCACTGACGACGAGACATTTAATGGGGAACGGTAACAATGATTTACTAGTACGCTTTGTTGGGTTTACGGGGTCTTTAATGACTGAATAAACGGTCGTGTTTGTCAAATGGGTTCACACGGGGAGTAGTGTTGATTTAGTGGCCCAAGCTTTATAATTTAGCTACCGTTTGAGGATCTTGCGATTTGCTCGTGTAGGTATGACATGTATTGCTTCTGTTAATTGCGATTTTAAAAATTCTTTTGTTCATTTATAGCACTAAAGCAACCTAATGTAACGGTTATAATAACGTCAAGATGTCTGTGTCGCATTCCATCGAGCAACTTTTGGAAGTATTTTAAAATCGGAATTTATATTGTTAGAGTTTGTATGTAAGCAATGCATAACTAATACTAGTAGTAATTCGTGGTGGTGATGCATTGATCATTATTTCGATTTTGAATGTAATATTGTAGGATTTTTAAAGAAACTTTCGATTGGTGACAGCTGGTTATATGTATCCGAGTGCCGTAGTATTTCGTACTTTGTTCATAGTTTTGCGTTTTGGCTTTAGCGACACTTAGCGACAACATTTGACACGAAATGCTCATACTTGGTATACACCTTGCTCATACGAAGTCTTACTGGGAGCATCAAATACGGTATTCTCGATTGGCATTGACGCGCACCCTACCAGACTAGAGTACAACTGCATGCTCGGTGATCGCAGACAGGTTAAAATCACTTTAACATAGTATAACCACGGTATTTATCTCTTATATACCTTGGTATAACATTTTTTGGAAAATCTAATTGCGTATTTTGTAGTTTAATGATGTTCTTTATGCAATTATTTAGATTTTAAGTGTATGCTAACTTCTGAGATAATGTACAATTATTTGAGGTGCTTTTTGTTGAAAAGTGTGCGTCTACTAACAGTAGTACTCATTATCAAAAAAATACTACCGAAGTACCCGACTTTTTCGTAACGGTATTGTATGTCTCGTTAACTTCAGCACCGCGTTGGAAAAAAAACTGTATTACATTGAAAATGTCTTCTGTTAACTTTTTGTGCATAATAATTTACTAATTAATAAATAAAAATTGACCATCATTTGGTTTATAATTGGTCACGTGAGTCGTGAGTCTTCGTAATAACAATTCTGAGAAAAATCGGCTATCTATGAACGAGTTGTAGAATAATTGGGACGAGTCTTTGAGAGCCCATGAAGTGAGCACCGGGAGTTCGTTTCCTGGTGCCTGTTGGGAAACAATAGATTTTAAGTACTGAATAGAGATTAGTACAGGTCGCTCCGTTTGGCTGAGACGGGACGGTTGAAATTATGAAGGAGAAGGACGCGCTTTGATCCGATCATTGACGATCTCTGAAAAGACACGTACTCTAGAAATGGAGAGAGATGACCGTGGGCTTACTGCCTGCGTAGTGCGTACATGTAGTGTCGACAAAATGCCCCCGTGTCAGAGTTATACACAGTGGGATCCCTTTGAATTAGCCAATTAGTTGGGAAATTGGAAATTGAAATGAATAGTTTGAAGATAGGCTGTGGGCTTTTATTTACGGAAAGAATAAGTGGAAAGACATGAGAAAATATTTTGGATATATATCGTTATTGTTCACTGTGTCGTCCACTTTGCCCCGGCTTATGTGTATTGACTAGTAGTCTAGTAGAACTAGAAGCAGTAGTGGATCAAATTCGGTATGGCTTCTCAGCCGAATTGGTAATTTTAGCGATGAAAATTCGCTTCTGGTTGTCTACTGGAGAGCAATCCGTGCTATATTGAATCAACGGCTCTTGTGTCCAACATTTAGGTGATTATGCTCTCCAAGACTGCCTCAAGAGGGTAACTAGAAATAATATTTACAAAATCGCCCCTTGTCGCCCCCTTATTCGGCCTCTTCAGCGGGACCTATTTTGGCGCAATCAGCGTCATATAGAGCTGGAGGCAAATGCTGTAGACAGAAATTATTTCCATTCGCACCGAATAAGACAAAAGACTGAATTCAAAGCGAAAGAAGACGGCCGCTACGGTACATGGATATTAGTTACGTGCTTACGTGTTAGCTTATTTAAATTTCAGTAATTTCCCTTTGATTTTTTGCTAATTACTTGTAGAGTGAGGTTTTATATTACCTGGTATAAAAATCAGCATATTGGATCAGTCATAAAGACCAAAAGATTTGTAATGCTTGATTTTACATCTAATTTGCTCTGCCAATGGAATTCCGTGCTTATCAAATATAGACATCAGTAAGGATTCGAAGGCAGTGAATTTTCAAAATGGCTTTTAATGAAACAGAACTGAGACTACTCGCTGATGAGGGTAGCTATCGCGAAGTGCAGTACATCAAGCAGTTTTATCTCGATAATGAATTATTTATTGTCTTCTGAAGGCGAAATTTCTGTGTGTTAATGCTGTGGAATTCTGCGGTAGTGGGTAAATGTGGCCGGAAGGGTTTGGTGTACTTTCGGTTCTTCAGGCCAACCCGGGGAGAAATAATGGGATGAATTAAGGTATCACGCACAATTTTGGCTGCCAGTAAGCAGAGGGTGGTGAGACAGGGTAATGATGTTAAAGTTTTGATTAAATCTGCGCTAGCGCATCAGCTAGTTACTTATCTTTTTGCCAGTTAGCAGTAGAATAATATGCTGTTTTGCGGATTTTGACGTATCGTAACTAGAGTAATTATACAAATAGTCAAATACGAAATCGCAAGTTTCTAATTTTTATTTTGACTTGGAAATTACATAAGGATGATTGAACAATTAAAATCTGCGAACGTGCGAAACTGGAGTGGCGTTTGAGTAATACATGGATTTTTTTGGTTAGATGGTGCATACTGACTAGCTATACTTCTATGTGACTTCAATGGGAACGAGCAGATTGCAATCGCATTTCGAATTTTACTTGAAAACTTAATTAATAAATGCGGCTGGTGAACCTTGTTCTTATTTCTGCACACTTTGCGTGCTTTGTCATGCAGGCTATCGGTAGCGTGTAAAGAGGTCTGCGCGCCGTCGTATTGGCTTTCATATTTTGCGCTGGCCATATTTCTCTTTAATAAGTGGATGAATTGGGTTGTATGCAAATTGCACACTCACACAACCTCTGAAGAACTTTTAGACAAAGGCCAGTTCAAGTGAAGTGGAAAGGTGAATTCTTCAGACTGAAGGCGCTTTTGCGACTCACAATTTTATGGGGAAATGGTGGGGCACGAAATTTTCAGGGTGTGCATATCAAGGTGCAAAAATCATACGTACAAATGCTTAACTACTTCCAGTTATACTGACAGTCTGACAATGAGTTAGTATACGAAAAATTACTAGAAATAAATCAGATACGTCCACCTAATACGTCCGCTGTGTGGTATGCATTGTGACGGTTGTGCATTTCTGGGATATGAAGCTGGGTTCCGCTGCGGTTCGGTCGCGGATCAACTGAACATATAATGGAGATAATTTCTATAAATATTTATGCGTATTTGACTAAGGTTATGACGGAGTGTGGTAGCGCGCTTGGCGTGGCTGGACAGTTTAATAAGATCGGTGGTGTGCGAAACTGATGATTTAAACACGCTGGAAGAAAGTCATGTGCATGCATCTAGGAAGAATTAGAACCGTGCTGGCGTAAGCACCGATGTGAAAGATTATGACATGTTTGATATTTCATGTGTGCCTCATGCCAGTTAAAATGTCAAGGGCCATTTCCTGTGGTCATCTGTACGTAGCGGGTCCATATTGGCGACTGTTTGATCGTAAGCAGTGTAGCACTGCCGCGTTGCTGCTGTTCGACCACTGAGATGGTTATCTTGTGTTAAAATTGTGCGGGTAACTTTTAATTACGTAATTTTGTGGATCTGTCTTGAATCACATTTTCTGAGTACAAAACAGACAATTGTGTTTAATTAATATTAAAATTTCTACTTTAACGTTTTCCATCACGCCAGTATAGTCGAAAGTATAGCGTTGCCTTGTTATTTGTTGTACTTTGTAGTTTGTACGTAGTACAACGACGAAAAATCCACATATCACAGGGATGCGAAGTTTGTTTTGTATACTTACGTATCGGGAAATTCAGAAGCAAGGTCTTACTGCAGAATGACATACTCGCAATTTGAGCCCTTTAATGAGGATTTGTAATATCATGGCCATGGGTTTAAAATTCATTTTTTTAAGGCAGGTCGAAATGAAAAACTTGGCGTTTGTTGTGTGACGCGTCCACAGTCCAGTTGCGCACCACCGGCTGCCAGTAAACAGTTCATACACTGTACAGGCAGTATGTGTGTCGGCATGGTGTAGACTGTAGATATCTGAAGCTGTGTACGTTTTAACGCTTTTGTTTTAACCTGACCTTTGTAATCACTGTAGCAGGGCATTCACATTTTTAGAAAAGGGTAATTTAAACGATATCGTTCTCCAGTTTCTGTAAGCATCACGTGCATGCCTTTCGGTTGTGCTCTTAAATTGGGGTTGTCCTGGTTTGACTGCGACTTGATTCCGTACACAGTGTGATGCTGTATTGTGTACTCTTATTACTGAAGGTTGCTTTAATTTTGAAATTCAGATTAAAAATCATAGTTTCAACACCAGAAATACGATTATTCAGAAAAACATGTTGTTTTTCGGTGAAATCTTTTCGGATAAATAATTTAGCCAGCTGATAATAAGGCAGATTCGTGTTTTGTTAATTGTTACTGATGGTGAGCTCTCTAAAAGTCTACCCGTAAACGTCAGTGGTGTCACTCGTGTAGAATACGATCATACTACCGTATCTTTTCAAGATGGGATGTCGCGTTGGGTTGTAATAATGACTGCGTGAACTGGAGTGATTGATATGCGACGAGCGTATCGGTAGCAGTTATTAACGGTTAGGTTAATGAATTCTGACAAATTCCTGAACATGCCCCTTATCATCGCTGAAAAGATTAGTTTGCGGTGTGGTAAAGCGTTATAGCGCACGGAGTGGCAACCCAGCAGTCAGTGTCACATGGGTTTTTAAGGTCATCTTCAGTAGTCGAACAAAGGGTTCTTTTATTGGAGGCTGGAGACTGTAGTGGCGTCCATATTAAAACCGACAGTTTGCAAACGATATGCAGGAAAAGTCCAATCTAATTGACGCTTCGCATGCAGAGGGATTTACTGTAAAAATCCACTACATGGTGTGTTCTATCATGGTAATCTTTTGTTAGGACAGCGATATCGGAAATCGCTGTCGCGTATTGAAGAAGCGTCACAACAAATTTATCTGCTCTCTTTAAGATTAGCCCTTGCTGAAGACAGTGCGCCCTCAACGGCGGACCACCGATTGTGTACTTTCATTAGCTGCTTGTGTAAAGAAGACATCTGTAGTTACTTCCAATCGACGGCGAAAGCACATTCTTATAAAGCGCGCTCTTTACGATTTCCAGTTGCGGTTTTCACTGATCAATTCCGCTTTCTTGTGTGGTTAAAATGCGCGTTTCAGTTTTTCCAGAGTTGATTGATTTGCGTACGTTACACTGGTTTCGGTACCGGAACTAATAATTTGCTAATTGGAATATGAATAACTGTTTGGCTTTTATGTGCATTGTTCACCGTTTTTGTGGGAAGGTTTAATATCGGGGAAGAAATCAGGATCTGCATAGTTATTAGATTTGTTTGATTTGTGACCTTTCCCTGCATAGCTAAAACAATACTCAAGCTGTTTGCTGTTTCCTCGCATGTTTGTGATTTTTCAATGATCTGTCGCTTCGCTTGCTTTTTAATTTATCAGTTTCTCCTGTTTATTGCCTATTTCTCTTGCTTCTTGGGTGTAAATAAGAATGCCCGCTGTTTCTTTATCGCACCCTGTAATTCAGAGACCGAAACCTATCCTGGCATCTGCACTTCCGCTCTCTGTTTCCTATCCGCCTCACAACGCGTCCTTGCTATCAGGAGCGAATATACTATCACCTCCAGATATCCATAATTATTTTCCATACGTGAGTAATTTATCGCACAGATGCCGTATGTAATCTTTATGCGTTAAATAGAACGAAATGGAGAACATTGTCGTTCATTTTGGCGCCGCTCGCTAGTTCGGTAACATATTTCCCGCCTTGTAATACCAGCCATGTCAATTTAATTATCAAGGGTCACGAATGTTGTTTCAGGATGTCTTTTATATGGCTAATTTGTAGCTGCGTGAGTCTGTAATTCGCTGGATAACTATAGATAAAGCTTCTTCCCCGAAAATGGGGAGTAAGCCTTTCAGGCGGAAGAGAGGCTAAATCGATTGAGTCGCACATTTCACTGTTCGGTGGCTGTGTCGCAGTGTGCGCTTGTCGTCCAGCGAACAGCGGTTGAGTGTTTTCTAGAATGGCGGAAGACAAGTGAGGGAAACAGCTAATGCTTAATGGTGTTCCCGTTGATTTGCTGCATGACAGATCGAGCGGTGGCCATGTCAGCTGCATTGATCCCGTGGGATGTGCACTCTTTGATCAAGTAATCCATACTGTTCCTTTCAATGGTCGTACCACATTCTACGCTATGATTAGTTGACAAAACGGCTTTTAGAAGAAAGATGCTGGGCTTTCATCTTTTTGACTCAACTATCCATAAAAGCAGAAAGTTTATTTGCAGCGTCTGTTTCTTCCGACAGGAACTAAGGGTCCCAAGTTCTAGTCTTTGAATATCGAGGTGGAAACATTCACTTATCTGAGTGTTTCTCTCTTCACCCTTGCATTTTTCCTTAAAAAAAACACTGGCAAAAGACCGCGAAAAAAACAAAAAAATCTGGCAAAATGTTGTGAAACTGATTTGAAGTGAGTGTGGTGCCTGTTTTCGCACTAACCCTAGCAAATATTTGCAAACAGTGAAATTTTGTTCTTCTGTGATTAAAAAGAGCAAGCGTATCCATATGGTTGTAAATGATGGGATACAGCTAAATGCACTAAAATATTAAGCAAAAGACGAGTTTTGCAATTCGAAAATTAAAGGGCAATTTGGTGACATCGAAGGGCTTCATGCTGTGATTTGTGATTTCCTAATTTGAGTAAGCACTGTAGGGTTTAGTTGACTGACAAGTTGGTGGAGTTTTCGTCAACCGATTTAAATGCGACATTATTGTCAGTAAATCCGTCATGGTTTTGCTGTATGACAAGCTACGCCGTCATTTACTTTACGGTGGCCTCTCATTTGTGGTTGTGATCTTAAATACTCCGCAGTTTTTGTATTTATAAGTTTAAGTTACTGTACTCTAAATACTTCATCTGCAGGATGATCTACTCGTATTATTTGAATAATCTTTGCTTGCGTGTTTTTTGTATTATGAAGTTTCTTGCGAGTTACAAAACGTGTGCGTAATCAGGTCTTTTCTTGGTCGCCTCACTACCAGAGATTTGAAATTTCGCGCTTACTCTATTTAAGTATATGTATGACCTTTCACTCGTTTATAGGAAGTTCAAGTGCACCAAAAGTTGGGAAGTTGACTGTCCGCATGTGTGTGACCGCTAATCATTTGTACGAGTATATATAGGCTTCAGTCTTAACACCTGCGCAAGAACAGTTTTACGATGAACTGTGTTGTTAAAGTTTAAAAATAACCATCCTGTTATCATTTCATAATCTCTTTCAAGTAGGTAATAAATCACTCACCTGCGATGTGGGGATCGGTCAGTAATAGTTTGAACTGGCTCAAAAATATCATCATGTTGGTATTAATTTTTATGTCCGCCGTTGTCAAGTGGTTGAAGCTTATCGTTCTCTTTTTATTTTCTTCATGAACGATGGGTCAACTGAAAACAAAAGCTAGAATGCACTGCCCTGTTTTTCGATCCAAAAACTCTTCCGGAGATATTAGTCATGTAATGTCAGTACAACGAGGTGCTGCAGTCATAGGGTTGTCATTTTATGATTGATCCAGTTTTCAAAAATTTCGCATTGGTTGTACTGATAAGAAGCGATTTCGATGTTCTGGTTTCATTGACATCAGATCAGTATTTTAATTGTTGATCTTGATGCGGTGGCAGCGGTCACGTTACTACATGACTGATAATCGGCTTTAATGTAAATAAAACTAGCCTTCTGCCGATCAGTTTTTTCGTTAGTCGATCCGCGTATTCTGTATACTGAAAAGATGACAGTCTTGATAAACCGCAGTAGTAGTATTTGGATATCGGGATGGAATACAAATTGTTAATTATGGATTACCGAAGGGGTTCGTTGGGTAAAGAGGGCTCTTTGCAGGGTACAAAGATTCCTCCCTCACCTCTTGCGGGATCTCCTATCGCATCACCAGCGGCCTTCATGGGCCATAGCACAACAACGCCGCCGCCGGCGCATTCTGGCCTGGGCCGACATGGCGTCCTGTCTCCTTATGGTCATCTTTCACCATACTTTCCGCACTATCCGGGCATGTTTAGTCCCGATTACTTTGCCATGCAGCACCATATGATGGATATTATGCACAGAAATATGACCAGTCCAGGAATGCGTACACCGTCACCGTTCCCTAGTATGGCGCCGCCGTCGCCTTTTGCTCTGCCCATGTTGGGCTCGCCTCCTGGCTACGGTTTTATGCATCCCGGTGGACTATCGCATTTCATACCGCCCTCACCTGATGCATCTGGACGGTAAGATATACTGCGACATCATTCTGGAAAAATGTTACTTTGTAACTAAAATGGAAAATGAATTAATTGTGAAAAAATTTGGAGAACAAGTTTCTGATTTTACGCAGGTTTTCGAATGGAATGGTCAGCTCGTCGCGTGCGCAGCATCGCGCTGGCTCGCCGACTTCGTCGACATCGAGTGTGAGAGAAGCGATGGAACGCCGTCGTGAAGCAAAGAAAGAAAAAATGAATCACGTCAAAAAGCCTCTGAATGCCTTCATGCTGTACATGAAGGAGCAGCGAGCCCAAGTACAGGCAGAATGCACACTGAAAGAAAGTGCGGCCATTAATCAGATTCTGGGCAAGAAGGTGAGGGTCAGGACTAGGACGCGATGTTGAAAAATCACGGTTTGCAAGTGTTTCGTTTTGTAGTGGCACTCTTTGGATCGTGCTGAACAGAGCAAGTATTACGAAATGGCGAAACAAGAGCGCGAAAAACATGCACAAGCCTATCCAGGATGGACAGCTAAGGACAACTACGCTCTGTGCGGGAAGAAGAAGCGTAGGAAGAAGGAAAAGTCGGATGGTTAGCTTCGTTTAGACACATTACATTCGTATTGTTTGCAGCATTTAAGTTTTGTTTTATTTCGCAGAACCAAAAAAATGTAGAGCAGTATTTGGAATTGATCGTCAGGCGGAATGGTGTAAACCATGTCGGTAAGCAGTGCATTTCGTGCATCATTGCATGTACTCCGTAGTAACCTCTGACTACGTAATTGACAAATGTGATTGCCATGAATTCACAACATCTAGTAGCAGTAAGGTTTGTTGTATGAAAGCCGATTCAATGTACTCGTACTAATGAATGCATCTTCCGTTTTAGACGCAAGAAAAAGTGTATACGATACTCACAGAACGCCGCGTTACTGCTCAACGGGCACGAGAATTACCTGCATGATTCAAAGCCGGCGGAGTCCGTTTCCTGTGTGTCCTCTTCCATGCAGGTTCTCTCGCCGTCCGCTGATTCAGCGGCCTCCTCCACATCTCCCTCATCGACGGCTGCATCAACAGGCTGAACGTGTGGTGTACGTCGTCGTTCGTGTCTGACTGATTGAACAGGAGAGTGCTATGACAAGACGGGCAGTTGTTTTTGCTTCTTGGATCTTAGACCCGTTTTATGGATGTATTTTTGGGGAGTTCTGGGATGGCGTTATGTACTGTGTAAATTATAACGGAAGCAACGGCATCCTTTTGGACCGGGCTGAGCACGTGGACTTCGGTTATTTGAGTTTGAGTTGGAAATGAGAAGATGTGTAATGTATATTTTGAGCTGTTCTGTTCAACTGTTTTATGCTCGGAGTCATTCCGTTTTTCAAGAGCATGAATTTTGATCTTTTCCGAGAAACTCCCACTCCCAATGTAATAGTTCCAAAGGTTAATTTTTTGTGTTTGATCTTTAAATGGATGATTGGTAATTTTTGTATTATTGTATAATTTTTATCTTCTTCGTTTTTGGTTGTACGGAAATGAAACGTGTCAACGTTTTATGGTTGGTTGTCGAAAAAACAAGGATGATTGTCAAGCAGATCTACAGTACTTTACCAAATCTTTAGCCGCCGTCTGTTCCTGTTAGTTAGTTAGAAATTGCAATCCTTATCATCGGTGCACTCAAAAGCGGCAGCGCTTGCGTTGTTTGGTATTGGACATGGTATGGATGCTCTAAAGATTTTGAGTTTAGCAACGAAAAACTTTCAGCGAGCTTACACATGTTGAGGTTAAGAATTTGCAGTTCCTGGCTCTTCTATCAGTACCTGATTTCGGTGTCAGTTTTCGTTACCGCGAAGAAACATGGGCGAACTCTGTATTACCGCCACAATTTTCTTATGTTTACACAGGAATTTTTTGACTAAAAATTGCTGTCAAAAAATTGCTCCTTTAAATATCAGCAGCGTATGCTACGACAGATCTCAGTCGAGTACGCATATGTACAGAGATAGCTGATTTACGATTCCGCTGTCGCCTGGAATCTGCCGCAAAAAAATTGTGAACGAAGTTACCTACGTCCGAACGTACGGCATTGAACAGGAAGCGTTTTATTTCGTTTCGGACAGAACTGGAACCTCCCGGAATCTCTCGAACCAATTGTAACCGACTGGACGGCGTCCTACTTTTCCCATGGGAAAGGGGAAAGGCACTGTCGACCTGGGATGTGACTTGTCGCATGACCATGGCCTTGTCGTACATTGTAGCGACTTGCACTCGTGCCGGAGCAGCAGCTCCGCAAGCAGAACGGGACAAAACAGTGAAATATCGAAACATCACATCTGTTCTGTCCGCTGGGCTTCGAGACCTTTGGTCCATGTGGACAGGAAGGCGCCCGGCTGATCAGAGAACTGGGAAAGATGGTCCAACGGGAAGCCGGCGAAACGAGAGCGACCGATTGTCTGCGTCAGCCAGAAATCCAGCGAGCAAACGCAGCAACTATAATGGGAACGCCACCGACGACGAATTTAGGCGAAATTTTTTCTGTCTTTCGACCGTGCTCAAGTTTGTAAATGTTTTGTAGCTCGCTAGCGATTTTAGTTTCTCAGATCGATGTAATATGTAAATAAAAACGAGAAAAGCTCCTAAAGTGAGAAAAAGTTCCGCGAGCATTACGGTAGTAGTAGTACCGGCCTCGTGCTGAAATGCAAATTTTAGCTTGAAATATGTGGGAAGATCGTGCACGTCGAATGTTTATTATCAAGAGCTAACCGGCACCTTCGCATGCTTTTACAACAGTTTTTTAATAATTTTTTATTTGTAATATTATTTTATTGGTTGATTGATTGATTGTTTATTGAGTAGCCAAACCGGTACATTTCGGCATTATCACATATCCTTATTCACGAAGAACATCAAATATGCTATGGCTAGTCAAGTCACCACACTCCGTTAAAGAACAGTAATACGTATTATTACTAAGATATTCCTTTACAGTTTACATAATTGTGCATACTACAGTAGCTCAAAAACTTAAAATATAGTATCGTTTTAACTTTTAAGTAATATTACGTGAATGCGCTTTTTGTTATTCTGATGGCGTTTGCCCAATAAAACCCACAATGCTTTAAAAATTAAAAAGAAATCGTTCTAGTCTATCTGCATATAGATTCACTCCCTCAGACCCATGTTTATCAGATTAGCCAGATTAGGCACCCTTTGATTTTTCGCACCGGTACGTGTGCACCCTATGTATGAAAATCAGAACAGCCGGTTTCCACACTGCTTTTTATAGGCAAATCTTTTCGCACCATGTTTTCTTACAAGCGCCCTATAAATAATAATAATAATTAACTATGAACTCCCGGTTTCATATCTTACAGGCATCCATTTCATTTTGGATTTGCCCATTGCATTTCCACAAAATGTTATGCACTTTCTCAGTCTTTCTGTTACAAAACGGCATCCCATGCTTTCTTACCAACAATGGTGTATTCGGTTTGTCAGATAACAAAACGTCTTGGGTCATCGGAAGACAATTACTTCGATGTCTGAAACATTTCGCTTGGTACCTGAACCTTCCTCAAAACTTGCAGCTCATCGGGCCGGCAAATTAATAATTTGCCAATCAACAGGTTTTGCTTCTACCGTACGTACTGCTCCACCAGCACTGTTCAGGAAAATTAGGCGATCTTCCTCAGCTGATCTATCCTGTAGTAAATACTTAAGGGCCATTGCTGCAGTTAGTTCAAAGGTCAGTACAACCAACAGCAAGCTTACTTTTTTATATTGTCTACAAGATTTGTTTACACAAATCTGACAATACCATGAAGAGAGCAAAAAGGGTAGGCGTAGGATCATGGTCGCTTATATTGCGTTGGCTACAAGCTCCGTACGCGAAACATAACATTTTGTAGAGTAAATATGAAATCTCAAAAAAGATACCTGTACGTGAAAATCCAGTTGTATGTATGCAAGAGCTATTCGACAAACAGAGGGTGTCTGTAATAATTTGGGCTGCAAAAAACGCTGCTGCTGCCCCGTTGTTTAAAACAACGGGGATGTTAGGAGTGACTATAGTGATACTAAAAATTATTATGACCCACATAATATAGAAGGTGGGGCAGCCACAATGGCACTGTGCAAACTAGATTATTATAACGTTCCCGCTGTGTTTCCGGTCATTTTTTTAAAAAATATTTTCCAAATATACCGGGTATTGAAAATCTTTCAAATATGGCCAACATAGCAAATGAAAAATTCCTCGTCCCTGTCTAAAGCGAAATAACCACGAGACCGACAAGACCACCATAGCCCGGCCCAGTACAAGCAGAAACATCCGTAACACATCGGAAACTCTGGATCGTCTGTTGGAGACGGACGGAAGATAGATAATAATGGTTTGCTGCACAGCCTTCACTGTAAGCAAATGGATTAATTCTACTCCTAAAAAATACAAGTGTTTTCGTGGATATCTATTGTTGCTTGACACGGACATATATATAAAAAAGGTCAATAGCATCGATGCGGAAATTCCAGGACGTTTAGTGTGTATCTTAATCTGACAGTCAATTGTCTACATGCTAGCTGCATCCTTTATCGATGTCACTCACTGCACCCGCACAATAAACGGCTTTAAATTAAACGCCGCAATTTATAATTGCTTTCACACCGTTGTGGTGCGGGACTAATATGGAAATAAGTGACGATGATATTAGGGCTTGCGTCTTTTGCGGCGGAAAAAAAAGTTTTTTTAAAAAAAAGAAAAAAACATTTCCGCCGTGACGCACTGGAAATGTAGCAAAATAGGTTCCAAGGAATACGTCCACCAACACTGTATTTGCCAAAAACACACACATCCATTCGCCAAAACTCTAGACCAGCAGAAAAGCTGATTTGCGGACGACATACAATCCGAAAGAAGAGCATTACACAAATGCCGAGACAACCAGAAGGGAAACCGGTAAATTAAAGGAAATGACAGACGCCAGCGATGACCTTTGTGGCAGCGGTAACAGACCCGTATAGTGGAACTGGAAGATAAACCTTTAATTCCCTCAGGTATGTAACATACTTACATGTGATACAAGTACATGGGAAGGGCCAAAAAAGGGCCCTAAGGGTTGTAATTCCATATGATGGACCCATCTAGATCTACCTGGCAAGTACTATATTGCGAGCTTTCGCGGCTGACCGGCCATGGATTAACTGAATTTCTCGCTAGACCAACAAAAATTTTATCGGGATGCGACGAGGCTGGCTTATGATTTACGCGATTGGTATGACGGTACTGCAATCATGAATCTCCGAAGCCTGTGAAAAGTCTGGACCGTAACCGTAAGAGTTTGCGCAACAAACACATTTCGGTTAAATAAGGGTACACGAGAACGTACAGAGCTGAATATAAAGGTACACCCTTCGATCTCAAGGTAACAGCACGCGTGCGTCGAACGGAAGTCCAGAATTGTACGCAGTAGTTCACTCACCAGCGACCGCAACACACACAGATTCCCAGTTCCCATCTACTGATGGAGCTTGATTAATTGGTTATGGACCAAGAATTTCTAATTTAACTGTTTCCAAATATTCCACAGAGTCCATAATATTTCTGCAAACAGTGATGCAAAATTGCGGGTACGTATTCGCACTCCTCCTGAAAAGAATATTCGTGAACCGAAAATAAAAAGTATTTGCATAAGTACCTGCAAAATTACTAACGACGAGAAGTTTTAGCTAAAGACATCTGGAATGAAGCGTGGAAATTTCTTACTAAGCTTGCAGCCATTAATGCAACCCTACGTACTGTACACCACTGACAACGAGATCCCGCGATAGAGCAATGTGGCAGCGCCGCGTGCATTTTTCGAACTGTTAAATAAAAAATTTACAAAATCAGGGCTATCAAATCGTTCATGGACACTGGATCGCGATTCACAGAATTACCCTGGTGAACTTCGCACGCAACCTTAATAAATATCCAAGGTGCCATAGAATAACTGCTTAGTAATCAGTTTATGTTTATTAGGCAACAGCCCAATTAGGCTGAACCAAATGACAAAAACGCACTACATATAAAATGACTATGTACCCTACTGTATTTCTACATGATGTCTCGGTAGAGTAGTATAGCAGTGCCGGACTGTCGGCCTACACACGCTCATACACACGCTTACGTTGACCAAAGAGTGAGTGAGCAGGGGAATTTGAGAATACGTAAAAAACACATTCGTGACAATTCCCCGTAGAGGAATTGAATACGTAGGCGGTGGTTATATCATTATTACATAATAAAAATATGCAGTGAAAAGTTTGAAAAAAAAGCTAAATTTTACCGTCTCACCGAATTTCTTTTGCACGACTGCAGTATTTTACAAAGGAAAGCCTAAACAGATCGAAAAAGTGCAACCATACCACCGGACCATCGCTTCCAGTGTTCCCTTTCATTATGGCTACACCGGTGACATGGGTGCAGTTTTTCGATCTATTTGGGCTTCTTTTGTAAAACACTGCAGTCGTTCAAAAGAAATTCGGTGTGGATACTGGATACTGAAGAGGAAAATACACATTTCACTGATGCCAGTTAAATCGCAACCATGCGTTCATCTGCGTACGAGTTGTCTAGTTCCAACGTGGATTTTCTAGGGTAGAATTTCGGAAATGTATAGCAATACGTTATTGATGTCTAACAATACGTTATTTTGACATGCACTGTTCATCCTGGACAGTGGACACAGCATTCTTGTCCTGGGAAACCAGCAATTAAGTGTTCCAGTTCAATAATTTTTTTCTGAGCGAAGATAGTATGGAGAGTGAGTTGAGTTCTCCGCTAATACTGTCGCAGAACAATAAGAATGCAAGCCTGCTGCCCTACGTGTATGATTGTTGTTGGAATACCCACCGTCTAGCTTTGGGATACATGTACTGATGTACAGCATCTCTTCACTACTCAAATGGGAATCCGACAGAGAATCGGCAACTGAACAGACAGGATTGAGGCTAACCTTTAGTGTCCTTTACTTTCCATCTTTTCCCCGTTAGAGGATAGACAGACGCAAAAGCTCAGAACAGACAGAATCATTCTGACCTTTCACTTAGAGAGTTCTGACCTTTCAGTTACACGCTGGATCCTATACTAATATAATATATAGACAGACTACGTCTGCCATATGTTATATTAGGCTTGCCCGTTGCAACCGTGCAGCGCCTACGTAAAATTACGGGTACCAGAAAATCCAAGAGGTATCTTTTTCTAATCTTCGCCTACTCTGGGATAGAACTAGGGAGGAATGCTGACATGGGATGCTACGTACGCTAACTCACTGGATATTTTGTCTTATCGCAAAAGCCACAAGCGCAGCGACGTCCACACGCGCGGGAGCAGCAGCAGAACAGGCCGAGCAAGTGCAAGGTCGAGAAATACCGCAACAACACCCAAGACAACCTATTTTTCCCTCTGGGCAGTGGGCACTGAGTCACTCGGACCGGAAACTGTCCGCATGATAACGGAATTGTGGCAGAAGTAGCGACAGGAAACCGGCGAAGAACTGGGCACTGAATTTCCCGCCATTGTATCATGATCACATCGAAATCCAACAAGGCAATGCAACATCTATCCTGGGAAGGACGCCAATTCGGGTCGGTTGATGCTGACTGTTGAGTTGTACCGGCCCACTTCCCTCAAGGATGGTTTCGTAAGGTTGTTTTTTCGTATGTAGAGTAAGTAATAATCCTGACTTCTTAATAAACTTTCTTCATTTATTAAATGGAGGTTACGCAAGCATATGTAGGATATGTGTTGCACGCATAATTATGCTGAAATAAAGGAACCTCAAAATAAACGACTTTTGTAACCTGTGCCGTCGGTGTACATGTAGCAGAGTTTGGCATTTCCGTGCCATTCTTTTTCATGAAGAACAATTCAAATTAAATTAACAGTTTATTATGCTTTTGCTTAAAAAGCCGCTGGCATCACTACAATTACTACGAGTAGATTAATTAAAATTAGTTAGATACGTGTTCCTGCATAGCTGATAATAAACATCGCACATAAACTATTCCGGCCGGGTGCTTTGTATCCGACCGGCGCAGCGCAAGCTTGCAAATTAATGTGGAATACTGCGAGCTACCGGCTTTGGCAGTACCCGACTTTTATTTCAGCATACTTCTATACCACAGAAGCAAATTCGTGCAATAAATTAATTTTCTTCCGCGTGCTGTAATTACACCTGGGACATTCTTCTGCACTGCATTCCAACATAAGCCAAATGGCCGACGGTGTACGTCGTAGTCTGCTCATGGTCAGCCGAAAATATGCATTCACGCACTGCGCCTATATTTGCAAAAGTGGACAAAAGGTTATTCCTCCGCGCAGCGCTAGCGACGGGCGGGATCGGCGGCTGGGAAAGTGGAAAGTATAGTTATTATCCATATTCCGTCCAATAGACACGGAGACAGCGTTTAGGTGAAGAAATGGTGTGGTTGCTGGGCTTTTAACGGGTATTCAGCCGACGACGGAAAAGATACGATTGTTAGCTCAGCAAACACGAGCATATTAAGTAGCTGGTAAAACCGGATTTTGCTATTACGGCAGTTCGATGCATGTATAGCCATGCAGTGCAGAGCATGAGTAGCGTATCCGTGAGCTAAAATTTTGATGGGTGCTTTTAAAATTTCCGTACGGCAGATAACAGTGCGCACCTTCGTTTGAATAATAAGTCGCAGTGCGCGCCAAAACAGTCCGCGATGGTGTGTCAACCGAGGATATGATTCAGGAGAGCGGGAGCGTTCTCTCCGTTTTACGGCGATTTATTGATTTATTTGGAATCGAACCACCTGCAGCATTTGGGTTACGGCAGAACATGTAATGTTGTGACTTGAGACATCGCCGAAAACTAGCTCTTATTTTCCACTAGAATATTCCATCAGTTTCCCATACAATCTGCGATTAACGTACAAAAGTGCAGCATAATAATTAGAAGCGTAATCCAGTATGGCTGACGCTGACCTTCGAGATTCTGATGACTGTCTGGATCATCTCCGGAAAGTCCGATTGGCTAATGAGCCATGCGACGTGGACATCGTTGTGGGAGAGGAAAGGTTTATGGCGCACAGAGCGATCCTGTCCGCAGTCAGGTAATCTAAAAGTCTACAAGTTTCACATTGTTAAATAATTCTCAAAATTGTATATTATTCTTCTGGTTCCATTTGTTATTTTGGAAAATTTATTTGCATTGCAGTGTCGTTTGTGGGTAACGGTGCCACTAACACGAAAATAGTAAATAGTGTAATTAGACATTACGTCGGACTCAAATATTAAATATTACAACGATATGTATAGTGACTTTCCAGTCATCCATGCATTCTGGTACAATACTAAATAGCCATACAAGGAGGGAATACGTTCAGTTTTTAATGAATTCTTCATACAGATTAATGTGATAAATCCACATAAATCAATCATTTGATTTTTATAATATACCGCATGTAAGAGAGTATGCGCGCATGTATGCTGGAAGAGAGTTAAGCGCGCTTTTATAGTTCGGTCAGCAAAATACAACAGTTAGTTATTGTACTCGTACATTTTACATTATATTTTTACGGAACTGCATTTAATTTGGCAATAAAATTTGATTTCTTGAACACTGTAGTAAACTGTGAAATTATTATCACTGCCGTGACAAAGGGTGCGGAACTACATGTTTGCTTTGTTTTCATCTGATGTCATCAGTCAATCAAAGTTTTTTTGGAAGGTTTATTTCTTTCAGATCCGATACAGTCACACATTTCTTAGTTTTTAAGATGGAGATAAAGGCACTTTTCAGTGACTACGTACTTCCACACGAACCATATCGATTACATGTGAACGTATTGACAACATTCCGTTGTTCACAATAAGGTCACGGCAAAATTTTGACATATTTTGCATTATGAGCGCGATGTGCATAACGGATCCAGAGATTTTGATCGAAAATGTTAAAACTAAAACTTTGCTGTTAAATTTTAACCACTGTTAAAATGCAAAATTAATTAATGAGGAAATAGCTATTTGAAATTTTAGATTACTACGGTTACTGACAATTACTGAAGAGACAACTATTTACGAAATAACTGTTTAAGCATCCTCAATATATTCGTTCGAATAAATTCAAGCTGGCAAAATATATTAATATGCGAATACTCGTACTGTGAATGGGTAGCGCCAAATTAATAAATAAGCACCAAATATACTGTAGCATATTACTAGTACTCGTACATTAATTTTGTCTGCGTATAGTATTTGAGCATATACTTACTGTAATAATAATATTAGAGAAATGCAGCAGCGGTAGAATACAAATGCTTAGCGAAATGGAAATTTTAGAGCAACGGTACATGTATCGTTAATGAGCTCAAATGTATCTCTCATCTATCCGAGTATATTTTGATCCCGTTTTGAAGTGGGCATTCTGTTTACTTTTCACAGCCCTTATTTTCGCACCATGTTCTCACCAAAGTATGTCGAGCACTATCAACGACAAATACAGCTTGCCCAAGCCGATGCAACTGCCGTCGGTCTCCTTCTGGACTTTGCCTATACGGGAAAACTTGAAATCTGTGAGGATAACGTGGAGACACTACTGATAACCGCTGACCGGCTGGAGTTTTGCATCGTCCGCAAAGAGTGCTGTGAATTCTTAGCAGAGCAGCTGGACGCTGGCAACTGCTTAGGGATCGCCCGGTTTGCTCATTCTTTGGGTTGCACCGATTTGGAGAAAAAAGCAAAACAATTTGCCAACAAGCATTTTTTGGATGTTGTACGGGAGGATGAATTTTACCACCTTTCGGAGTGTGAACTATGTGAAATAATTTCAAGTCAATATCTAACAGTCAACCGAGAGGATGATGTATTACAAGTATGTATAGTAGTATACCCTTTACGTATTATAAAATCCTTCTAGCGACTTAATAGAAGACCTCCAGATATGCATGTGTTGCGGTTTTGCCATTGTAAAACTTTGGTAATCAGAATCGCTCTTGATAGAGCATGCTGCAAATTAATTTTACGTATTCCTTTTAGATTTAGTTAGTATTCAGACCTGGTGCATTTTTTCACAGATTATTTGCCACGCTGCTGTACAGTGTTTTTTTTTTAAAATTTCACAGTCTTATCACACTTTTTATTGTCATAATTTATAGCAGTAGTAAAGTTACTAATTTGTTAATTTAATTTGTTTCGTGGTTTATCAACTTCTAGGCGGCGCTGCGCTGGATCCATAGTAATTGGAAAATGCAAAATTTCTCGGTGGACCGAATTTTAGCCGAAATCAAAATGAGTTTCCTGGATTACAAGGCCATTTTGAGCATCTTCAAGGAATTTCAAGATGATGCCGATTTTCTTTCTCTTGTGGCAAAGCCAATCGAAGATGTCATCCTGTTTGTGCGGAATACGATTGGATGCGGGCCTTTGCAGCGGGAACGAAATTCGATCCGGCAGTTTGCATATGTTGTTGGTAAGCCGCTTGTTCGAGTCACGGTCAGCTACAGACTACAGTACTGGATATTGCAGCGCGAAGCTGATGGGTTCAATATCAAAGCCATCAAATATACAAGTTAATGAAGTTGGTGACAAATTGCAATTGGACGAGCAAACAGAATCATCGCTGGGATGAAACAACTGTCAGCTCGTGACACTTTATGTCCTATCCGTTCCAGAGTTTGGGGAATATGATTCTTCCCCAAACAAATCCACCGAAAAATCCCGCTGTGCTTCCGGGTATTCTTTTTACGTTGCACAGGAAGATTTTGCCTGAATTTAATATTTTAATAAACATTATTAATAAGGGTTTTACACCAGAGTTAATTAGAACTGAAATGGTTTTCACATTGTCAACACGGGATGAGAGCGTAGAGTCTAGTCGAGGTTTCATCTCACATCGCTTAATCCTTTAATGCCGCTTATGCTGCGTTTCGTGACACACAAAGGCGCCTTTTACAGGGTTCATATAAGGCAATTAACCGGTGCGTGCGTAACCCCGTCGGGTAATTAAATTTATAATCCATATGCTAGAATGTCTCAACTGACGTTTTGATTGTTTCAATGGCATGCGTCTAATGGATGAAAATGTGATTTTGCCGATAATATCATAAAACGCATTGTATTGTTGCTGAAGCATAAAATCATATTGCCGCATCGTAAAAGGGCGTACAGGCTGATTAGGCGGCACTGGATGCAGCCGGCTAGCTCTGGCAGTGGAGTGCGCCTGCGCAGAAAATAGGACAGCGGCGCAGGGACGGTGCGGGCCAGATCTGGGAAGATAAAGTACGGGTCAGGTATCGATCTGATCAAATTAGACAAACAGCATTCCCATCAGGCTGACGCGTGTAGTCCACAACGGGAAGCATATGCAGAGCGTACGCTGGATGTATCGATTGTGAAGTGAAATTATTAAGTGCTGATGAGAGTGATGGATTAATGCAACAGTAGTCCCCATTGATATGTATGTATTCCAGCGGATTCGGGAACCTGCGGGTAAAGTCGTTAATAATCGAGTAAGCGCCTTTACAAACCAACGGGCCTGGCATAATCAGATCAATAGCAGGGCATACAAACAACATGCCTCTCTAATTACGGGGGCTTATCCCGCCCCAGGGGCGCTCTTCATTAACTCCCTGTACATCCGGCGCGAGGACAATGTGTAAAAGCATTAACAAACAGTTAAATCGGATATCAACATCCCAGGGAAACCCCATCTAATGCACTGCTGAGCTGCGACAAAAAGATAATTTGTTTCGGAATTATACACGGTTCCTTTTTGTTCTTAGGCGGATCGGCCGGAAGCGCTGAATGTGATACAGTGGAGCGTTACGATCCGCTGAGAGATGAATGGATTAGCATGAAAAGTCTGGAAGGGCGACGAGGATGGAGTCCAAGAGGAGCGGCTGTTGATAATAAGATGCATATATTTTGCACCGACGATAAGGATGGTCGTCCAGCGACGCAAGAAATGTACGCACGTTAACACTAATAAGTTTATGTCGTTAATGCCCGTCGTGAAATGAATTAAATTTCGTTAAATAAAGAATTTACCTTCTGAATTCTGATGATATGATTGCAGTTACACCTCATTTCGCAACTTCTGGAAAGCCTCGCCTATGATTCTAACCGGTCTTTCCGAAAATCCAGTTGCGGACGATTCCGCTGTCGTTGCTCTCCAAGGGTCAATATTTGTGATAGGTGGATCTGGGGTAAATACTTCGACATCAATTTCTACTTAACAGATTAACAGTAATATAAACTTATTTACCACTACGAGTACCTCATTTACTAATTTTTTAAACTCGTAATGGAGCATGCATCTCACAGCTAGGATGGGGATTTAAACCTGGCCAAAGGGATTTTAGTTTGATCAAATTAATGCTTATCATGATGATTTGAGCATGGTGCAAATGGTACAAATTTATTTTTCAGCCAATGGCAATGCCCATAAACAGCGTTCGGATGTTTAATCCAGAATCGGGAACATGGTCGTACAAAGCCAGTTTAAAACGAGCCCGAATCTCCCCGGCTGCTGTAGTTACGCGTAGTGGTCAGCTTTACGTCGCAGGCGGTTACATAGACACTTCCGGTAAGGACGGCTGCACTATCAGTTGCACGCATACGTAGTTATTGCGCTTACATGTGCCATTCTACTAGCGAAATAATCCTTTTGCAGAGGACGGCGAAATCTGTAATGTGGAAAATTCGGTGGAACATTATTCTTCTGCCACGGATGAATGGACCTACATGACCCCCATGTTGAAGGCACGTTCAAATTTTGGCTTAGTGGAGCTGAATGGGTGTTTGTACGCCATCGGAGGGAGGTAATTATTTCTTTCCGTGCCGGAATATATTAGCTAAAGCTGCATGAAGGCGCCACAGCGCAGGCGCTCACAATGGCGGCCGTCGTGGTGGAAAATTATTTCGGTTGCATTATCGATAATGAGGCCGTTTAAGTTAATGTCCATGGTGCACTATTGAAGTCTTGTGGTGAAAAATATATTCTCCACTCTATGGAGTGAAATATTCCCTGCACCTGTCGGGCAGAATTGTTCTTAAGCAGACCGTATCCCAATCGCGTGACAATCCCGAGTCTTTTGTGCACTGGACAAGCAGGTCAACCAAAAGTGATTTGCGATAGTAGATGCGCGTGACCTTTGCTATGCAGTATTGTAGTGGAGTTTAGAATATGGCTCGTAATTGCTCAAATGAATGTTATGTGCCGTAGGGGACTGTATCAAACACTCGTTTCCTGCGAGAAATACAATCCGCACACGGATACGTGGACGCTCGTGGCTAACTTGAATGTACCGCGGAATGGACATATGGTATTCGTGCTGCATAACAAGATTTACGTATGCGGTGGACTGGATGGTGTGGAATACTTGACTTCAGTGGAGAGTTATTGTCCGTTGACCAATGCATGGACATTGCGTGCTGATATGACGCAAGAACGCTGGGATGCTGTTGTCGGCATCCTAGAAGCGCCACTCTATCCGTCGGAAACAGAGCAGCGTGATAATTAATTCTTGAATCTCTGGTGTTTGTTTCAAGTCCAAAGTTTATTGGTTTTAGATTTGTTGGAAAGTGTAATAATATATCGTAATCTTTCAGCGAATGACAAATATCTAATTTTTTTATCTGGTACTATTGTGCGTTCTCTTTGAATTCAGGGTGTACAGTTTTTACTGTGGTTTTGTGAAATGCCAACGCGTTACCGCTTTTTTAATTTTATAATTTAAAACCGTCAATATTTGTCTGTGATTGCATGCTGAAAAAAATGTTGTTTATTTTAACGGACGCTGCATGGTACGTGGAAAGAAATATTAAAACCTGTCATGCACTGATAGATCATAGATGCACAAATCCGGCTGATCAGGGCTCAAACTCCCATAGCATATGGATGGTTCTGTTTTTTCGGTAGTGATAATAATAATAATGTTTAACTATTATAACAAAACACTACTGAATTGCAATTGCTTTTATTCAGTATTGGTAATTCTTTTCTTTTAAGGAGCATCGTTGATATTATGAAATATGCACGAGCAGTATTTTTTAATCGAAAAAGCGTTTTCTATAGACAGTCGGGCGTTTTTCATTAGGAGTTCTGATTATAATTAATTAGAAGTAAATCGGAAAACGATACTAAACGTAAGCCATGTATCAAGAAAAAATTTTTTTTGCACACGTCACCTTTCTTCCACGCCTAGTTGCTCTGCATGAATTTTTCCACAAGCATTTTTCCTTAGATACTCGATATACCAGTTTATATCCACAGAACACAGGTGTACATTTGCCAAAAACGGCACATTAAAAAGCAACTTGCAATTAAAATATGTAAATAACAAATAATATATCCACGTAGCGCTGGTCTTGTGCGCGGGATGAACGCATCCGGATCTCGTATCATGGCTTGGTCGTTCGCTATTAGTTATCGCCATTCGTGTAAAATGTTGATCTACTAACCAGTTTCTATAATATAAGGTGTTTGCATGTTTGCTTACAGTACTTGTAGTTGTATATAACAATTTAGTTTCCATGTCGCGTTCCTTTGGTACGGTTATCGTTACATATCGCTTTTTGTCATCCTATCTAAAACTGGCGAAATTACCTTAGAATACCTTAGAATTACCTTAGAATAAATTACCTTAGAATAATTAGTAACAAGGCACTTCAGGAACCATGTATGCTTAAAATGGAAATTGGGAATTCAATACAGTTGCTCTCTTACTTTAAACGCGCAACACCCAAAGTCACAACAATCATCAGCAGTACGTAACTGTTCCGCAATTTATAAAGGCCATGGTGCATGATATAATTACAGTACAGTATATGATTCTGTATTAACTCGTAGGCATGTAGATATATGCGTGTACGCTGTGAACCGTTATTCCACGCGCAAAATCTCAAAACTGCAATAATGTAACATCAACAAATTTTCGAACATGCATTACAAACACACTCAAGCGTTTATACAGTCTTATTATAATAAAACAATGCTTGTGAAGTTATGGTAGTAATACAGTATGTCACTACATATGCAATCGTACAGTCGGAAAAAAAAGCGAAAGTGCAAACCATAATTTTCACATCAGTACGCATTTTTTAAGTAATGCATGTGATGACAATTATATATGTACGTAATCTAGATCTGTAACACATCTACCTAGAGGCTGGGGCAGTTCTTTCCATCCCGCTATGTGGATGCAACCGGAAGGTGTCCGGCCAGGTACTTCATAATATTATTGAATAATTAGCAAAGTACCACCATTTCTGTTAGCACATGGGAAATTCTGAAAATGTGTGAGCCAAACAGCCACCACTTCGTGAGCGGTGGCTTGTACTGTATTACGTGGAACATGCAATGTCACAAGAAGAGCATCCGGTCAGCGCCGACCACCTAATCCGAAGCGAATGCTTTTTAGCCGGCTGAAATCAAGATTGCGGTCGCCTCTGGACAGTTCCTGTAGAACGTCTTCCCAACTGCCTCCCTTCGGTCGCTTCCCGAAACGCGCACGTTTGGACTTCATATCGGCTCCTACAATATGAAAATTAATTACCTTAACAGGTACAGTTCTCTCAGAATGGCCTTAAGCTTGCGGGAATGGCCTTGCGGGTCTTGGTTTATACACTTGTGTTATTGTAGGGGCTAGGCTTAGTACAAATTCATAGCAAACCCTCAGCGATTATTTTAGAACCTACCGTAATCAACTTCATCCAAAAATGGAATTTGATCGCCGGCATCTATACCTGGAAATCAGTTTTCAGTACAGCCATGCGTTAGAACATTATTACAATTACAGTGTCGGCATCAAGAAATCGACGTGCAAATACATTCAGCACTTTACAAATTAAAAGAATGAATTGATTGATGTATGTAGCTCTGATATCTTTTCAGCTGCAACGCCTATACGAGAATAATTTGTCGGTACAGCCATCAGTTTCAGTTACATCAGTTACATTTTTCCTCTACCTGGAGCTGGACCCTCAAAATTACAACGTATTTGTCGCAAAAGGTTCACAATAAACAGGAAGCACCACTAGTATTGTATTTAAAGTTGGTGTGGTGGAATGCTCAAAATGCAGCGCAGTATACTCATGCAGTCATGCCTCCTTTAATATCATTACAAGAATATAATTAGTTGTATACCGCCTTTACTAGCAACTGACCGTTTCGTCCATATCCATAATCTAGTAGAAGGTGATTATCCACCGGACTGGGATAAGCTGTCGCGTAATTGGTCATAATTAAACCAACCATAAGCAGACTACCAAGTAATGTGTGAAGATATTCCATTTTGGAAACTGTCGGTTATTAAAAGACGCAATACTACTCTCACTACTTTATCGGAACTGCCGTCGCTTCGGCCTTGGAATTTGCGGTTATATATACTTGTGTCCATCGTTGTAGGTTTTATGTGGTTCGTTAGTTTCCGGTGCTTTTTGTACGCAAACTGCTGCTCGTAAATCCGATCTGAAAAGTCATCAGCGTAATTCGCTAAAGCGGCGGTCCCATGTATTTTGAGTAATTCGGTCATAACAGCTGCTTCCTAGCACGTTTTTGATTGCTTCAAACGGCAACAGGAAATCGAGCTGCGTGGTGCATTTGCGTATTCGCCAGGGAATCCGTTTTGAAGTTTAACGGTGTTAACGTGCGATTCTGACGACTGTCACGAACTTTTGAAATCGTAACCCGCACACTTACTTAACAGAGTAAATATTGAATTCGGCCATAACGGGCATATTTCACTATCAAAAACATGGACTGCGCAGGTAAAAAGCGCAAAAGAAAAAAAGTTGAAAGCCGACAATGATTCGACTACCGTGGATGATTTCAATGTTAATTATTAGAGCTTTTCACGACCCGGCAGTACCAGTAATTGTACAGAAAACTACAATGCAGTAGTAAAGAAATTGATCACAGTAAACGTGGAAAATTACTTCCATGTTTATCACACTAGTTTTGTTGGCGGTCACAAGCAAGCATGCAGCGAAAATAATACAAGTACTGCCTGTTGGATTATCATGAAATTTGAAAAACCGAAAATAAATTGTCTTACATACAGTACAATGGAGTGATTGGTTTAAGCCCTCGCCCTCTATCCCACCGGACGCAAACTACGCACTACGGACTTAACTAGTGCTAACAAGAACCACTTTGGTACATTGCGCATTGTCAAGATATTGAGATTTTTCACTTCGCGAATGCATAAAAATGTACGGCAAATATATTTCTTTTATATTCAACTGATGGCGTACTAGGTGTTTAATATAAAGGTTTCGTAAAATGTTCGCCATAACTTTGCTCCTACTTGACTACAACGCCTCAGATTGTCTGCTACTGGGTTGGTTTGGCTCAAGCCATGTTTACCCAGTAAGCGCTATGGCCAAGTTCGCTGTTAATTGCCGCACTTTAGCCACGCCCGACCCTTTAGCCCCGCCCCAACGCGTTAAACCAATTACTCCATTATGTAAAATACGAATAATAAAACATCGCAATTTCGTTCAGTCGCGACTCGCGATATTCGTCCGCGTTTGTATCCTACAAGCTGCGTACAACAAAAACCACTTGGAATTCAGCGTATTGCTAAACTGCGACTGCTTTCCATACTGCCACAACCAATTCCCGAACAAGAGCCAGAAATGGTAAAGCGGCACTGCGGCAGGCACCAATATCCACCTCGCATCACACCATATAGCTCAGATTGCAGAAAATTAATTTTTCACTTAATATATCCATTTATCAGACTATACCATATAATCCTGTAAGTACACCAAAATTATTATGACAAAGAAGAGATCCACGGCAGGTTCAATCTTCCGATTCCTCTTCTGCTTCCATTTCTGCTTCTCGTTCGGGCATTTCCGCATCATATTCCTCTTCCTCCACTTCCACCCGGCCGCCTTTACGGAAAGCTGCAAGAAAGCCATTTCGACCGTAAGCGAGCAAATTCCGTTTCCGTGTGTTAGTATTTCGTGTACCTTTGGCTGCGGGAGATTTGAGCATGTGCATGCTCTTCTGGACCTGACGTATATCGGCCTGCTTCCTATCCGCAACACCTTTTTGCAACCTAATAAATAACACGTAATGCACACTGAAATCCATCCAATTTACGCACTTTCCTACATGCAAAGGAATTTATTGATAGATGAGGCAGTTCTACTAACCTGATAAGTAATTTTCGATCCAGTACTTATTATTAAAAACTACAGCGTTACAAGCGTGTCGTACAATATTTAGTATACAAGGAAAGATGGCTACTCAGAAAATTTGCGCTTCAGGAAGAGTTCGGCTTTCCCTCTGCAGGAAAAACGCTGTATAATCGTATTGTTACCTTTTAAGGATATGTTGTGACTGCCGTTTCTGCTTGATCTCTTCTATCCTCTTGATTGCATCCACTGCAATCCAATAGCAAACGTTTAAGCAATACCTTAAACTGAAACGAAAAAACAAATCCTGCGGCATACCTGTTTTTTCCCATAATTCACGACTGTATTTAACGGGTGTATTGCGGCGCTTTTCAAATTCAAAGGCAGGATCCACGGCCAGCTCCTTACCAGCCGCTTTTCTGAACGCTTTCGTCCATCTAGTTTTGCGGGGATTTTTCTTTTTTTTGAAGGCTCTATGGCATTTCGACCGGCAAAATCTGAAAATCTACACACAAAACAGTGAATTCCCCAATCTAGTTCGACTCCGCGAGAGATCACCGTAAGTGTCGCAATAGCGATCAGCAATACTAATTCTTTATTGAGAATATTATGATTATCCACTGATTTATTCCTCCCACAATCATGTTAATATGATTTTTGCACAACGCGAATCCAGAAGTGAGGACCCACGCAAAATCATCAAAGCTTTTTCGTAAATGGTGCCACCTTACACTACGCGGAACTGGCAAGAGACTGCCACTTTTTATAAAGAAAAATTCACTCATACCTTACAATCGTTTCGAACAAACATAATGCCATGTCCAGGATATATGGAAGACGAGCAAAAATAGCACTTCTCGATCCTCATGGTTCTTCAGTCACTCCAAGGCTTCGCAACGTGATACGACTTGACGGCCGGTCCACCCGCACCGACGTGTAGATGAAGACAGTGACCGCACGAACGTCAAAATTGAAACTATGATTTATTCAAAATCCATTACAAACAATAATAATTCAAGGACACTGTAAACTGCAACCAAACACGGTAATTATGCAAAAATTTTATATTTTTATGGAATCGCAGGAACGGCAAAGGTCCAAGTAAGCACCTATGTAATTTCTAGCAGTAGTAAGGTAATCAGGAGGCTTGTCAATCTCCCTTCAAAACTGGTGCATAAACCGTTAGGGGGTTCCGTAATTGCTAGTCGGTCCGACTCGGTACCGTCTGTAATCGGCATTCGCCGGTATTACATATTAATGTGATTTATTAACCTAAATGCGCTAAATAATTAACACAGCTACTAATATTAATTCGGGGGACCTCGGATATTATATTCGGGGGACCTCGGATCGGCAGTCCGACTACCGCAGATGTTGATGAAATCGGTGGGTTGCTTGTCGTCAGCCTGCACTACTGAAATGGATATGTTACTGAACACTTTTCAGCTTTTCCTTTGTTTCTTGGCCTTTTCGCTCTTTCGAAATTTACCCATCTTTTCTTATCTACCGCATCTCTGTGGATTTCCTGTCTTGGCTTTGAACTTCCCTCTGACCTAATTCAACGTAAGAGTTGATGAGCATTTCAGGCCAAATTCTTGGCTTTTGTGCCATTGGCGAAATTTGGCAGTTACGACTACGGCAAGCTTGTTCACGTCAGTATTCGGAGTTCTTCGGTCTGCAGTGCAAATTCAGTGCAATATCATCTGGGTGAAATTTGGGAATTGTGTTTAGTTAAATTAGTTTTTGTTGTTAACTTGTTGGGAATAACCTGTAAATAATATCGGAGTTGATCCAGTTCTGAGCTGATTGGCAGTGCGGATTGTATGGGCAGTTCTTCTGCAAAAATGCGGTAAGTGTGAATGGCAAAATTAACCACTATAATAATACGGTAATTTTAACTTTTCAACTAGTAATACCTAAGTTATTGTACATAGTACAAGTGACAAATTTTTGGAAATTTAAGAATCAGTAATACTTAATCAAATTTATAAACTCCCTTGCCGTTGGCAGTGGTTTCGCTTTGCTGTTCGCTTTATTGACTAAAAAGTGTAAAATTCCGCTTCTAGATTTAAATCTTTACTATGACTAGTTGGTACTGTTTTGAATTTTATATATCTATATGTAATTTCTCGCCGGGAGAACTAGCTCAGCATAAGTAAAACCTTTGTTGCTTGTACAGTCGTACTTTACTGGAAGGTTCATTTAAATTGTCTGCATTTGCTGTAACTGTTAAGTGTGAATTGACGATTTGTTAACACGCATACCGATATACAACTAACAACCAATACAATTTACTTTTTAACTTTTCGCACAAATTATTTACTACTATAAGCTAGTGCTACGACACGATCAGAGAGAAAGATCTTTCTTGTCTTTCTCTCTGACACGATGTTACAAAGGCAAAAATTAGCAGTAGATAATACAAAATGTAATTACCAAATTAAATCGTAATTTTCGAAGATCCAAATTAAATCGTAATTTTCGAAGATTAATTATAAATTTTTGTTATTGTACGAGTACTCTGTATCACGCGCACGCTAGTGGTCACTCTTTGGGCAGTACTAAATGTTTTTTTAATATTTCTTCGGCCCCCACACCCCGAGGCGTCCGCTTGATCGACGGAAGTATGCGCATTAGGGCGGCGTCGGATCTGTTGCAAACGTGAGCTCAAGTGCGGTGTCACATGATTATTGGCAGTCAGCAGATCAACTCTTTTATAACGACAGCTGTTTCAGTGGCGGAATTTGCAAGAGCAGTACGAAAGCGAGCTTATGTTTGTTGTGGTCTTTATCGATCGTACAAAACTACAGAGTGCCGTTATGCGGTGTGTGTTTATATACTGTCTAGTAGTAACCCAGAAAAGCACTGAGTGGGGTTTTTTTAAAAAAAAGACATCGGTAGCTATTGGCCGTTTCTGTATTTGACTGTATTTAAAGTTCTCTTATGTTTTTCTACTATTTATCATTTTTGAAAAAAATTTCCGAAGAAACATTCGATGATATCGGCTGCATTTTGGCAAACTTGTCTTGGACGGTGTGCCGAAGGCAATATTTGACTGTGAACGCGAAATTACGTAACACCTTGACAAATATCAATAGTAAGTAAGTGCGGACACTTTATTACGGTTCTTTCCTGTTATTTAGTTTGCACAATTGCAATTGCATATTAGTAAACAACCGTTTAATTTAATTAACCGAATGAGAAGTATTTTTATTTAGCGTTGCGCACTGTGGCAATCCATCCCACAAATTTTTGGCTAAAATTATGGTTTCTATCCTGAGTTGAACTGATTACCTGATCATAACCCTGTAAGTGTGGGTAAAGAATTCGGCATTCGCCTGGCGTTGATCTCAGATTTATCGTGACTATCCTTAAATACACTGCATGACATCACAAAAGGTTTGGAAATTCCATTCGTTCCTTTGTTGCATCGGTGATTTGCTTTCGGTAACTTCTTAGCAACGAAAAAATTTTTGTTTTTCTGAAAGTGTATGCATTTTTGATACGTAATACGTTGAATGGTGTATATCGTTGTGATAGCTCTATCTCTTTTTACGGCTTATTCCAAATTTTGATTATGTTCAACATATAACAATCACGGTTAAGATATTGTTTGTAAAAAAAATATGTTCTTGATGTAGTATTTTCGACTTGCTTTCCTGAAAAGCTGTGCCTGCGACCATGGCCGATTCACAGGCCGCTTCCAGTGATGAGTCTTTGAAAGACTGGACTCTGGTTGATGAAGGGCCGGAACGGGTAATGCTGTTGCCGTTTGTTTGTGCCAGATGGTAAACACATGCTTGGATTGTTTACAGGCACCACGTGGGAGTCGTAGTTCATCTACGTCCAGCATTTCCGTGGAAGAAATAACCATCGAGTCATTGGAGAACGCCAATAAAGACGACGCCACCCCGTCGCAGACTAAAGAGCAGTTAGTACAGCAGTAATGTAAACTGTAGTGCATAGTTGTTGTTTGTACTTTTTCGGACATTTTATTTTATGGTTTCGCAGTTTTCTAACATTTTGTTAGTGGCTTTGTTGTTGGAAAATTGTAAAAAATATCAAATTCTTTTTGTCAGCTCTAGCAAAAATCGCTTGGTTCTCTTATTACGAAAAATAATCTTATTACGAAACTGTTTCACTCTAATGGTAAATTCGTTACGGCACCTTCAGAGGCTGTTTATAGCCTCGTTATGTATACGGATGACTGAGCACAGCGCGTGGAAACTTTCGCTTCTTGTATGATACCTTTTGTAATGTGTAGGAAAAATGTTTTACTGACGAGCACGTATCATTATGGATTATATGATTAACTTGGTACATAACTTATCATACGATTATTGTTCTCTTACATATATGACAGGTTTATGCTTTTGCGTGATGGAAAGTTTTTTTGCTAACAATTGTAATAAGACGTTACGGTTCATAATAATACACGTAGTTTACTGTAGAAGTTGATATATTATTCTAATTACCGGTATACGACTGATTTCTGCGCATTATTTAACGTAACTACCCTTGAAACAGCTATAATGTCTGCAGAAAATTTTTGCAAAACGTAAAATTGATAATTTTATGTCGGTATCAGGATGTAATAGGTATGCATATGGTAAAGATATTTTGATAGGAGTTATTACTTTTAATATATTGAATTATTAATTTTATTATTTTATGATTACAGAATTGCAATCGGTAAGGACGGCACCTGTGATTCTGACCTTGACTTTGTTCGTATTGAAGACGAGAACGACGACCAATTGAATGACTGGATCACCCCAACAGTCGCTGAACATCGCACGGAATGTTGCCAGCATGAGGATGCGAACGCTGGTGAGTTGTTCTCTGTTGATGAACGTAACGGATAAATAAACAAATACCTATCTTTGTAGACTGGAGTTCAGAGTGCACCGAAGCCGACTCGGATGAAGAAACCTCCTGCGAATCCGATGAACAGGAAGACAGTGATGAGCCGGATGCTGACACTGCGTTCCCGATGAATGAAGAGCTTCCGGCTGATTATACGTTGCGTTATGGCCCATCATGCCATATGTACACACATCGACGTAACAACCACGTCAATGAATGGTTGACGACTGCGCTATGCATTGTCTTGGCGGTTGTTTCTGGGGTGGCTATCGGACATTTCTTCGGTAGGGATAGGCTTGCGCTGGCCTGTTCGGTCGATTTGCTAAACACGAATTTCTTCCAGGCTCGGAAACTGTGGTGCAGGATCATCACGATGAGCCGTTGCCACGCCATGCAGCTTATCAGTATCCGCCTGAACGCCCAGCGTCTACAGCTCTCTCGGACGTTCAGAGAGGCCAAGTGGAGATTCTGAAGCAGTTGCAAGAGGTACAGTGCGTCAACCATAGGAATGGAATTTTGGTTTTACTTATATCTGCACTAACTTAGATTTTACGTTTCGAGGCTAACAAAAGATACATTTCTGATTGTCTGGAATTTCTGCAGATGATTCGTACGCAAAGCGATCTGAAACAGCGCGTGGTAGTCCTGGAAGACGAGAATCGCGATCTGCGTTTCCGTCTGCTTGAAAATCGGAAGCGTTGTACGCGAATCCTGCACAAGCCAACCGCGGTGACTCCAGTGGACGCTCCTGCAGCGTTGAACTATTCCGGTGATCCGCCATCGGTTCAGCGCTTGCAGTTCCGGCATATACTCGACCTTTCAGCGCCTGCTCGCTTGTCACAGCTTTTATTGCGCCAAAAGCAGAACAGAAACGCCGAATCTCAAACTGCAACAAAGAGCTCCGCGAATCTCCCGCTGACTATCTCAGCTGTTGTTGTTCCTCCTAAACGTGATAATAACGTGATCACTGCTCGCTTTTCAACTCCGGAATCTCTGCACTCTCCTGCCATAACGATTCCCAACTCTCATTTCATCGGTCTACCGTTTCCGCGCTTTGAACCGTATTACTATCCCTTTCTTGACCTGGAAACTCTGTCGCGTGCTGCTGCCGCTGTGGATAATCCCGAATCCTCACCGGATAACGCCGACCTCGATTCGAATTTTTTGCTTGTTGACTCCACTGTGATACCTCTGAAGGATTTGGTGAACGAAAGAAAACATAAGTCCTCTGCGAGTCGGGCTGCACCGGCGTCAGCGATATTCAATCCATACAACTTCTCCTTTGAGAGTGGCTACCGGCAGGAAACTGCTGAGTTACCAAACCGACAGCAGATTAAGCTGGTCAAGGTAAAAGATCTGTACCCGGAAAAGCCTGTTACCAACGAGGATGTCAAGCAGAACAGAAGCAAAACAAAACGGGCCAACGGCAAGGCCACTATACCGGACATCAAGAAGGTTATCAAAAGCGAGAAGGATCGAATCAGGGAGAACAGAAAAAAGTTTGACGAAGAATATGCTGAATTTAAGGCTCGGTGGAAGAATACATCAAATGAAAACCAGTCTCGTAAAGAAGGTAAACTTCGCGAAAAAGCTGGTTGTAAAAAAGGAAAATTGGTCGATGAGTGCGAGGAAGGTTACTGCTATACGAAACAGGAGAAAAAATATTCCAAATACGAGAAAAAGGATAGTGGAAAAAAATTTTGGGATTCATTGCCAGCAGTTATTCGAAAACATTTGGATCAATCGGCCAAAATGGAGCGTATTCTGAGAGGATTAGGCAGTGATATTGTCAGTTCCAAGGTCTTCCAGAAAGTTGTAGAAGAAATTCCAGCGCGGCTGAAGGTAAGAAAGTGTTTAACATTCGGATAATGTATCATTTTTCTAAAATTTTTTGCAGCTTTTATAATTTTGAAATACTGTGTTTTTTGTTGTTGTTTGAAATACTATTGGATTGCTCTACAATTTCCAGATGTCTTCGGAATGGTGGGATTGTCAGTGGAAATGGTGGCAGAATTTCGCTCGTAACCGGCGTACTGCCTCGTACGGTGATTGCGCTGACTATCTGACTTCTTGGCAGAACCGGCACAAACAGAGCAACAGCAAGATTAGTAAGGATCAGGATAGCAAGTAAGTTATGGGCTGTTCATAACTGACCAAATAGCAAGTAGCCTATTTTTGTGCGACCAACGTGGAATTTATTTGCATGTTTGGTGCGGCAGGTTTTCTAGTTTGAAGAAGGCGAAGAAATCGATTGCGGATCGTTGGGACGAAGGAGACAAGTACATATGATTAATTCTCATTGGAACGCTAGCTATGCTGCGAAACGTTTCTTAAAATAAAAATGATGTGTTAATTTAGAGAGTCCGATAACTGGTACACGAAACGAGTGTCGGGTCGAGATTATCAGAGGCGCTCGCAGAATCCGGAATACGGTCCAGGTGCCCGGGATTGGACGTTTGTGCGTGCTACTCTACGCGAGAAAGAGCGAAGTCAGAAAAAGCAATTGAAATCGTGGCGTCCGTCCAACAGCTCATGGTGGTTTTTCCAGCGTGCTCGGAATCGCGATGCCCGTCGTCAACTGCACTATTCCAATGTTGTGGACGGTGACATATACCATAGCGCCATTCCAGGCGATCCTATTTATGCCTTTTTGAAGGATCGGGCGGTTTGGTATGGATCGTACCATCCTTGATCCGATGGGAAGGTGAAGCTTGTTTTCGCTAGATTCTCTGTTTCTTACCACGGTGGTGTTGCGGTACTGGACTTGTGTACATAGCCTCGTAATAGTTTATTGTATATATTACCTTTCGGATCGGGTTTGTGGCAGTTTTGACATTTTATTTTCATGCTTTCCTTATTGGGGAACCTCAGCTTTCAGGGATAGATTTTACCGCTTTTTCATTTGGCGTTTGGTACGTTTAATTTTGCTTTGGTGAGCATTAACTCAGACATTTGAAGTCTGTTAGTTGGTCTTGTTTTTTTATTCTTTACAGATTTTAATGAGCGAACGTTACGTTACGTACGAGTTGTTATCGTTACGTTTCCGATGACCTAAGAAGAATCGCGCGCGGTGTTCTAAATGCGTCCTTGCTTGTTGTAATTGTTAGTTGCGTCATAATCTTGAATTCATATTTGCCGGCCAAACGTTGCAACGTATTCACAACTTTTCTTAACGGCTCACCAGTGCGAAAACCTTAAAACTGTTCAAAATACGAAATGCTCAACCATACGTCATTTTACAAAGTACTGCCCATATAATCTTAAAGAACGAACATCACCAGAAACTTTCACACAAAAAAGCACAAGAGCAAACACCGTCAGTTTACCACAAAAATATTCATCTACTACCCGTATACTATAAATTCGAATCCATCTGCCATTGACAAAAATCGTTCAAATCGAAGATCGTATCAAAAATACTTCTGCATTTTCAACGAATGATCGTGGTTTTGGTCCGGCTGGTTTCCCCGCAGAGGCACTGTAAAACAAACATTATTGTATCAGTAAGCTCGTTATTGTACTTAGTACTTCCTCAGTCTAACTGTGTTTAAAAGTGGCATTATTAACTTTTAAGATCAAAATGACGAACACCAGAGCAGTACAATACTTTCTCCTTCATATTAATTAAGGGACCCGCTAACTGGAGCACTACTTCTACTGCTTAATAAATCAAGGTTAGGGTAAATCTAACAGTGCAAAATGAAAGCTCGTAGAAAACGCACGCAAAAGATCCACACAATAATCCAAGGCGGAAATAAAATGCTAATTAAGCAGTGCAGCCAGCAGGGAATCCAGAATCGCCCTCGTTTCTTCCTGAAATAACCGCAGCACATAATATTCATCTTCCAAAAAAAAGCAAGAACACAGGACATGCACGCATGACTGCATTTATTTCTAAAACAAATAGCATTACCTAAGTAATAAGTACTTACTCGACCACCAGTGTTCCGGCCTGAGAGTGAGCGGGACCAGCATTGACAATCACGGTACTGGGTTGGGGTGCAATCAATGGTGCCTACAAAATGTGTAATATTAAACTTCGTATACAGGATGCACTTTCCAACATTTCTGAAGGTTAATTATAGCGTTAATTATAGCAAGACAAATAATGCTTTATTGATTGCTATGAGCCTATGATAAGAGACTAATGTGAATCAGTGCACGCAGTCATAATGTTGTCAAAAAAATTGAGTTTTCGTTTAGCAGGTTTCTAGGATCGATTTCGAATCGTGACCGGCTGCCCAGAAAAAAACAATCTCAAAAGATACTATTCTTTACTCGGCAGTTACCATCCGCAGCGCAGGGTTTATTGATGGGTTACCTGTGCATGGTATGCGGAAGTGACCGGTGGATTGGCCTGATAAACGACGGTTTGCGGAGCCACCGTCTGCGGAAGCGGCTGATAAACAGTGTTGGTATTGGCAGCGGCCATGATCACCGGCTGGGAGGCGGCCTGACGCGGCAATTCAACGGGGGCGTTCAGCGTCACGTTAATGCTGGAGAAACTGGCCGATGGCAGCGGCGGACGGACAACGGGATGGATGGGCGGCAACGGACTGGGCGGGCGCGGATGGGGATGCGGCGGCAGATGGTAGGCGTTGTAGATAACCGGAGGGGGCGGTGGTGGATGCGGATGCCCGAGAGGAGGCCGGTGCGGCGGCAGCGGGGAAGGTGGTCGATGGAAAGCCGGACCCGGGGGCACGCTAGCGTAATTGTACGGCGGGGGCTTCTCCGCTGCGATATCTGGCAAAACAACTACAGTATTTCTCAAGCAGAGGAAGAAGAGCATATACTTGTCACTGGACCACTGGACACTGGTTTAGCCATGGATTTTCTGTTTTCAGATCTCGCACGCAGAGCAAACGGCTACCAACAAAGGCTAGTGCTGACCATACACACAGCGCAAGTGCGATCGAGGAACAATTTTCAGGGGATGCTCATAAACTTACGAGGAACTGGGGATTTGTGCATCGGTCCAGCTCCTCTTCCGGGTGGCGGCATTGTATTCGCAACTATACAGAATTTGTGGTCTCGAGTTAGTTTAACGTAAAAATCACCCTAAAAACCGCCTTTAGTGAAATCTTGAAACCCACTACTGGCCACTAGAGTAAAAAATTCTGAACTATTTTGAATTATCCTCGCGAAGTTGCGAGCCTACAGCACGAGCACACATGGAGCGGTGCACACTGCACGCGCCGGAAAACTGACAGTGGTCATTGCCTTGCATTTAGCTTACTGTATTGTATGTACTTGATTCTTGATCACTCTGTGATGTCACAGAGTTTTAACCACATCAAGGTGGTATCGGTCCAATACTGTACGTGTACGTAATTTAGCTAATTACCACCATGCAGGCACATATTGGAGGTAACGTTTCTGTTAAACTACCATAACAATAAGCATAAGTAGCTTGACAAATACGAGAATTAAAATTTACGAATTAAGAATTTTATGTATATAAATACAGTAGTGGTCCCCGTGAAATCGCTGGACTTGAGTCAAAGGATCAGTTGAAGTACTTTAATTGAAAATTATAACGTGAAAATGCACTTTGTATTGATTGTTCTCCCGCCATTTAAATACTGGTACAAGTGTAACAACGAGGGCGTGTCAATTAAAGAACAATTTTTGTCACTATAATTATAAGGCTTTTGTTATACCGGTACATCATTGCGCAGAAGTACTCATATTATATACTATCAAATAAGCCCAGCACGGATGAATAATGTCTTAGGATTTCGAGCATGTAAAAAGGTTAACTGCATATGTATTAAATAATGGCACGATGTTTATTACAATAAGGAGGCACGAACAAAATAAACAGGCGTGAGCAGAACCTGTTATTTTTGCTAATTCGCAGTTCGCTAATTTCCAATGACAGTTCGATATAATAACACATAGTAACAATCTGGGAATTTACAAACAGCCCATGTTAAGCTAATGGCCACCATGGTAACAAGCTTTTGAGTGACCACTGGACTGTAGGGATTGGGCTTTCCAGAAATTTGAAGATGCAGGATTACTCTCGACACTGAGAGAATTCTGTAGAACTTTAGAGCGTGCAGATTGGATGTGTACAACGGGAGAACATTGAGTACAACGGCAAAGTGTCGAGGACCCTTGTCACGTAGTTAGTATTCATATAACCAGTTTACGGGATCTACATCCGTAAAGATCCCGCAAGTTTGTGGCGCAAGTTTGTAACGCAATGCACACTTCGCAACGGTTGATCACATTGGTCCCAGCCGCTAAGAAAACTACGAAATTTAAGAAAGAGAAAATCTAAGAAAACTTGAGAAACCCTAAGAAAGCCTACGAAACCTAAGAAAATTAAGAAACCCAAGAAATCTAAGAGACCCAAGAAACCTAAGAAACTTAAGAAACCTAAGAAACCTGAGAAACCAAAGAATACCTAAGAAACCTAAGAAAACCTAAGAAACCTAAGATATCTAAGAAATATCGTATATGAAAGAATAAGAGGTATACCGATCACGCTGGTGGGATTGACTGCGATTAATTTTTGCACATGTTTCTTAAATTTTCAATACTTTGTAACGTGCCGATGCCGAAGGCCGTGGTCTGTCTCGGTTTTTCCGAACGCTCCGCGAACAGACAATGCATTTACCATGTATGTCTATGGGGGCCCATGGCAACAATTTGTTTTTTGGGGCTACTCCTTCCCTTTTGGGGCGTATCGATGGCGCAATAGCGTAAGAACATTCGCGCCGTTGAGACGAATTTAACGCACTTGGCCGCGTCGAAATCGGTTCAGCCGTTCGCCCAAACATTGGCTACATTATCAATCGTGTATACGTGGTTACGGATGTAGATAACCAGTTTACGGAGGACTACATCCGTAACCAATTTATCGGCGTCGGCTTTTGGTGATTAATTATTTTTGTTTTTGTTCGCATCGAGGCCGCTGGCCGAGGCGTGTCGTGTCATTTACACACATGGGAACAACTTGTCCATGTATGTCTATGGAGGCCCATGGTAACAACTTTCCTTTCCGATCCCCTTTTTTCCCCTCGAGGCGCATCGTCTCGGTAATAGCGTAACATCCACCGCGTTGTTGCAGCGGTTCTGGCGCACTTGACCGCGTTGAAATCGGCCTACCCGTTCTCCCAAACATAGGTTTTTTAACCTTACTCTGTCATGGTTGTTACGGATGTAGTTAAATAATTAATGTGCTAAAAACTACAAAAGGTAATATTTGCTATGTCAGCAGGCCATCCTCCAGATTTGTGATACGCTTACAAACTATAGTTCTGCCAACTTCTGGGCTTCCTATTTTGTTAGAATTCTACGGCCTGGTATATACCAGGCCGTAGAATACTTATACTGTATATAGGAAGTATATATATATACTTATAGCGCCAGAAAAGTCACTCGTAACCATTTGCCGTTATGCGTAAACAACACTACGAGTACCACTTGGCATTTATATTGTTCGAATTAGGGGTCATTTGTAAGTATCGTACGTTGTGTCGCAAAATTAATATACAAATATTTATATACACGACGACCAAAGCGGAAAGTAAGATACACTAGTCTAACACAAAAAAATATTCAAAACAAAAACACCGATAAAAGTCTCTTAATACAACCTATGAATCACGGATCACACTGGATACTGTCAGGACAATCTTCACAAGACGGGGAAATGAAATTCTAGGTTGAGTCCAGAACTTGAAACAACTTACAGTAGACAATGCTAAAGCAGGCTACGACAAGGAACAATTTGTGTTCAAAGCAATCATACTACGAATTAAAAAAAGTAAAATCAAGTCAAAACTACATTAAAAAACTCTTCATAGCGAATGGAAAATCACCTACATCAGTAATTGTACCAATGTGGTGTATTATAAGGGCGCCAGAAAACGTTTGGATGCAGTAAGAATTCCGGATTTTACAATTAGGACGTCGCATTGCTTCCGTTCAGATTCTTGACGCGGCATACCCATTTGGCTAAGTCGGTATTCTCTTTTTCGCTTCTTTCAATAAACGGGTGCTGCATCATCGCGCTCAAAGTGGGTCTCACTGTCGGTTCTTTCTCTAGGCTGTAATAAATTGCAGAGCATAAAATAGTCGAAGGGAAATAAAATCCGATTAAAATAATTAAATCAATTCTAAACGTTCTCTGCAAAATTTACAAACAAACCTGACTTGCATCTGCAAATAGCTTTTACGTTGCATGTGCCAAGATAATTGTTCAATTATAATTCAGAAACCAATTATTGTGATTAGCCATGAAATGCAGTAACCAAAAAAGAGTAATTCCAGCTATGTAAAAGACTTGCCAGCGATCGATGAAGTCCTTGAATTCCTTTGACACGATTCCGTCGGGGAAAGTAGGAGAAGGAGAAATGACAATATAATCCAACAACTCAAATATGGACATTATCTGACTAGGTTCTAGAAAAAAGCATAACTCAATTAACCATATTCATTGCACAGCTTCCTGAAAATAGTAAAACCTAGAAAAGTTTGTAAACAGTTTGAAAACAGCACACAGAAGTCTTTCAACGAATTACCAAAGTCTGCTAAATAACAAAGACGCATGCATATCACTGATCATAATATAACACTTCGTTTAACTGTTTTTTTATAATGCTTTATCGCAGTCGAGTTTCAAAGAGTGCCTAGCCAACGGTTATTGAAAAACAGTAAAATACTAATTAAGACTCATGTATAAGTTCCGTTTTTATAATTTTTACAGCTGAAGAACAAAAATTATACACGAGACAGCAAAATTGTTATCCCCATGGAAAACCGTACCTGTGCTGACTCCGTCTGACTGGAAAATCGTCCGAAATTCATTGTGCGATGGTAAAGGTATAGGATACCGGCCCAGCGCCAGCTCCATTAAGGATAAACCAAGTGACCACAAGTCGGACGCGATCGTATACGCGGATCCCTTAAGACGCTCGGGAGCCATATAGGATCGGCTGCCGACGAATGAATTAGCCATGGAATCGATAAGCTGTCCACTTACACCAAAATCGCACAACTTCACTTCACCGCGAGAATTGACAAGGATATTGGACGGTTTAATATCTAAAAATCGAATAAATATGCCCTGTCCAAATTTCGTGTCTGCGTTTTAATACAACAGCCCACCAGCACAGATGCTGTACAAGAAGCAAGTCTCGCAGGCTCTTCATGTTAAATGCTTTACCGCGGTGAAGAATATTATGCTTTTCTTTGAGGTATGTTAACCCTTTCAGAACAGAAATCGTAATTTTTCCCAAAATTTTCTCCGGAATACGAATTCCCTGACGAATGATCTGATCCAGTGAACCACCGTCCTACAAGATCAATGACTTTCAATCTTCTTTACTATAAGTCAGGCATAGGTCAATGATGACCGTCAATCGATGTGAAAATTTCGAAAGGCAACGTAATGATCGCTTAACCACGTATGCATCCACTTGACGAGGTTAAAGACACAAATTAATGCTGAAAGCAGCAAACTACCAACTACACGTACCATGTATTCCATTAAAATGCTGATTTCTCCATTATCATAGAAACAACCATAAAATCCCACAATGAATGGGGAATTGCATTCGTGCAGGATTTTCAACTCAATAATAATTTGATTGCGAATGGCCGGTTTCACTTCCAAATGGATGAGCTAAATGGAAAAGCAAACATACTGAAATTAAGCCAAAGTACAGTAATAAGAACACAACTTATCGAATGATCAGCACGCAGCAAAATAGTTCTCATAAAATCCGCTCTGCTTGTAGATGCGTTTATGATTTCAAGAATTACAATGTCAAACAATAAAATAAAATCACCTGAAAATCGCAAGTACCAAACGGTCGAAATTACATGAAACATTATTCGACACGAACAAACCTAACACGACGTATTTTCCTAACCATAAGTCATAACACTCGCTGTTACAACGAAATTCGACTTATCGTACCTTGCGCGCCATGATCATCCCTGTTGGTCGGTGCTTCACTTTCAGTACAACCCCTCCGCTCCCGACCCCTAATTCCGCTAGTTTCTCCAAATCCTCCGCATGCACTTCGCCGATCCGCTGCTTTAAATCCAAGAACGTCTGCAGGCGGTCTCTCTGCTCAGCGTCCATGCGTGGTTCCTGCGCGTCGCCTCTGCGCTGCACCGTGATCATAACTCCTTCATCGTCATCCCGTGCGCCCACCAAGCCACTGTAGTATTGCAAATAAAATAAGGTTTAACTGGCATTTTCTTAAAGCTGCACTCTATTGGACAGGGAATCGTACTTAGTGATGGTTGGAGCTGCCAATGTATCGCCAGTGTTGCGTCCAGGCAGCGTCAACGGTGGCTTGAATTTCTTTTTCTCAGGAAGTGGAGGAGGTGCGGACATCTTCGGATAAGTAGTGAACCAGACACGGTGATACTTAATTCACCATTAACATTTGAAAGATTCGAAAGCACACAAGTGAAAATAGCAATGGAATCAGATAATCAAAAGTTAATCAGGTACGTAGTGAACCCGTGAAATTGCAAATTGGCGTAATACAGCAAATCACAAATGCATCTATTTGATCGGACGGCGACTCACTCCTCAGGCGGTAGACATGCAGACCAGTCTCAGGGCCGTCTGTCAGCTGTCTGGTGATGTAATGATGTCTGTTTTTTGTAATGGTTTCATTATCACAGCGTCTTCTGCCACTCACTTCGCTGATAATAAAACCATTCAGAAAACCAAAATCCGATAAGTACTGTATGTTCGGAGCCGGTGTGAATGGTAGACTCACGTATACAACTCTGTATTGCTCCATTTGTCAAGGTTGGTGCGTAATCCAAACGCCGGGCGGCACAGATTCTACTTTCTACGTTTCTACAGAGAAAAGTGAAAGGACATCATCACAATAAATTTGTTTCAATAATAATGTAAAACAAAGGTCAGGTTCTACGCGCGAGAGCTCTCGCCCGTAGTAAAAACTGTACGGAATCAGTTCCGTCACTTCCGTATGAAAGTGACGGAACTGATTCTGGTGTATACAGTACTATACACCGGCTGTACGCTAGCATTGTCCTATTGTATAATAAGCTAGTCAAAAATCAAAACTGTCAAATATAAGCTAATAATATAAGCTACTCTAGTCAAAGCTACAACGTTCACAATTCACAGTCAATGTGAATTGCAAAGGTGCAAGCGTTCACGAAATTGGTTGTAAAGTTTGTTGGGCGGTGCCAGTAATGATGGCAGATTCGCAGGATAGTGGTCAATGCAGTCCGTTGAGTGCAGCCGGAATTTCAGCTGTATGTGCTGCATATGCCGCTCATTTCAAGAACTTTTCTTACATTTCTTGCAGTACTCGTACCGTATTGCTACATTTTACTCTGTTTAACAGAAATGTGCAGTAATTAATGTCCGTGAGCGGAAAAAATTATTTAACTTGAAAACTGACGTTATATAAACATTTATATTTGAGTTTTACTTTTTTGCGCTTGTACCGCTGCTTTACAGACTTGGTGACCGACTTACCGTTACGATATCGTAATTTGGATTGTAAATCCAGAAATCTGTGTGTCTGGGTCAACAAACCCGTCTGCAAGATTTTATCAATTTTGTCATCTATTCTCACATTTTTAACGCGTTTTCACTGACGGTTTCGAAAATTCGAAAACCATGTGTATTGACAGTCATTCGACACTGGAAGATGAGATATTCTGGGAGCAAACCAATTTGGTTTTGCATTCCCTAATGTCGGCTAACAAAACGCCTGATGCCGATCGATGTACTCAGCTGCCTGTGAGCAATCACGAAAACGAATGGGACACTGGCTACCCAATAGTGACATATGTTGGCCAATTGGTAAATGCCTTTCGAAGGGAATATCACAATCAACTGGAATCCATGCTGGAGATTTTCAAGGAGTCTTGTCATTCAACAGTCCCGCTTCCTGGTGGAGTCGTTTCTCAGAGTGTGTTGTGCAAAATCGGAAAATGCATTACTCAGCTGCTCAGTCGCGAGGCAGTTTCCTGGGGACGCATCATAGCAGTTTTGGCTTTGTTTTGCGAAATACGAGTATGTTGGCACTTTGCGAAGAGTCCACCAGCCGGCACTGAAGTGAATATGGAAAAAGAGTTGCTTGTTCTATTTAGAGATTTGATGGTCACACATTGTGGAGCATGGATTAGGAAAAACGGCGGATGGGTAAGCCTTCGCTTTGCTCGAACGTTAACGTTAGCATTCTCCAACAAGTTAATTCATGAAGTTTTCGTCGATGTACTAATAAATGGAAATCAGTACAAGTACTTACCACGTACTTATTATAAAGTGTTTATTTTTAAAATAATTATTATCCTTTATATTATTTTCTTATGGAGTATGTTAATAAATAAGTTGGCGATTTAGCTGTAAACTTGTCATTGCTATAATTCATAAATACATATAAATACATGCATATTAATGAATCATATTAGCATCTGGGGAGTGTTACTAACAATGGCAAACTTTAAGCAGTTCTCATGTTTAATTTAGAAATTTTAGTAAAAACTAAAAAGGATTTTGACCTTACATTTCTAATTATATTGCGTCGGTTCGCAGTCGTTTCAACTTTATTACAATTTACAGGACGGGATTTACTTAACTGAAAAAATCTCCGGCGGAATAGAGACAGGGGCGATCGGTAACACACCAGCCAACACAATTCGGAAAATGAACATGGATAATGTCAAAATGCTGAGATTCGCCGGATTTGCTGCGCTAGGAATGGGAATTTGCAGTCTTGTTGGGCTGGTTGCCATCCGGCTTTGATCGGCTGGTTGTGTGCTATTTTCGAATTTTTATTGCTTTTATTTTTGATGCGTATGCTATTTTGTAAGCGAGATAGATTTTGAATAACGGAAATAAATGCACCTGGGAATTAGCTTACTCTGATGAGCTGGAATCAGTACAACTACCTGACTTTTTTTGTTGCTAAAAATTTGATATTGTTTTTATTTGTTGCTAAAGCAATAAAGAGTGACCTGGCAGTTTACTTCTGTTTGTCGTCATTTGCGATTAAATACGGCCTAAACCCTGTGGCTATCCTTTCTGTTGATCCAACACGCCGGCTGGTCATTTGTCGATATCCCGTGTTATAAAGTGGCGCTATCATACCGGTGCCGTCTCTTCTGTGGGGCATGGGAACCGAATATTCCGATGTTGATTTGTGGTGAATTAAAAACCGGCTGACAGGGGAATCCACTTGTCGGTACACATTCCAAGCATATTTGTTGCGTATTAGAGTTAACAATGGCCATAAGCACTACAAATGTTCGCAGAGATAAACTCCTGTCTCTTTGTGGCGGCCAGTCGAATTCGAAGGCTGAGATGTATGATTGATTAGAAAATTGATAAGCAATACGCCAAATTCTGTGTGTTAAAATTTTCTCATGCCGTCTTAAATTACATACGAATGTTATGGCTGACGCTGCTCTGTCCTGTCTACAGTAGGTACGAGACTACGAGTCTACGAGTACTCGTATACTTACAAGAATGCCACAACCATCTACGGTCAACACATCGTATTGTAGTACAGTACTTGTTTGCTATCGATTGCACAATAAATTTCAGCTAAAATCGCTCGTTCCTTAATGAGAGTTTGTAGGTACACAGTAACCATTTTAGTCGATGAATAAAACATAACACAGGTCAAGAATTTATTTTTTTGTATTTTTTTAATTTATTTTTTTTTGTACACGGTCATGATCATCACTGGAATACATATGCCCGAATCACGCATTCAGGAACTTAAGTAGTATCAGAAAGCACTTTAAATTTTTTTACCAAACGATCTTCAACAGAGTCACACATTTTCCGCGATTTTAATGGCTGATACGATTTCCCTTTATTATCCGGAAAAATCCCCGAAAGCAGGCCACTTTCGCCAATGTCGACTAGTGTCTGTTGCCGCTCACGTAATGCACTGAGCATATCCATGATCACCGCTGCTTTCACGGCATGTTCTGTCCATAACCGCTGCAATTCCTTTATGCTCTGATTGACGGAATATTCTTCGAAATTCCACACAATCTGATCGAAATCGCAGTCAAATAACACCAAAGGGAAGCCCTCTGCCATATTGTACTGCGGTTTAGCGGGATACTTCGTGATATCCAGCATATCCGAAATAATTCCTGGCTGCTCTTTTCCTTGTCCTATCAGTGCCAAAACAGCCACAATACTGCGCACTTGATGCCAGAGAAAAGCGCTTCCGTACACATGCAGAATGCACATTTGATTTGGGCTATCACAACTTGGTTCCATCTGCGAAATGAATATGGCGTCCACGCGGCGCACATAATTCGTCACACCACCACCAATATCGGCTTTGCAGAAATTACGGAAATCATGCTCACCCAAGAAAAGCTGCGCGGCGGAATTCATGGCGGCAATATCCAAACCAGCTTTGGGAAAATAATAGCGGTATTTACGACCACGACAACTGAAGCGTGCACTAAAATCAATATCGACGGGCGACCATGACGTCATGCGAATATTTTTTGGTAGTACACCGTTGAGAATTTGCAGATAAGGGATTTCTTTATCACTTAATTTGGCCGGTGTGGCGCTTCGGAGCAGCCCCACTCCCGATGCGGACGTGCTGCGGACATGAAGAGAAATGACTTGACTGAAGGCACTGACACTTTTATCCGTTCTTCCACAACGATGGTACGATGAGGATTCTCGCGATTCTATCAGTTTGGTCTTCATTAGGGCGGCAAAAATGTGGTCTTCTACGGTGTTGTCAGTTTCGTCCTGCACAACGAACCCGTCATAATTCCAACCCAAATACAGAAAACGCAATGCCACATGCCTTTTACCGTATGCTTGGAAATCCAGATCGCGCTGCTTCGTCGCTTTCCGTTTGCGGTTGGCACGATTCCGACCGCTGTCGGAGGACGCTGTGGTGTCTGACACATCCATTAAGGCACTCTCGTCTCTGGCATCCATTTCCTGGGTGGCTGTTGGTCGGGGCGTGCTGTTCTTCAGTTGTTGCCGTAGACGCTGAATAAGTTTGCTCCGCCGGCGCAGCTCTCGTTCGCGCTCCATAACAATCTCGACAAGCTGTTCTTTCGACAACTGCGACAGCTCTTCACGGCGAGCTGTCTCGCTATCTGAAGGGAAAGTAATAACGCTTTCAGGACCCAGTTCATCCATGGATACCTCCCCAGAATTATCAGTCTGCTGGCTGTGCAGCACATCGTCGGTGACATCAGTTATCTGGGGTTCGTCATGGTCCGATTCCGTAGACATGAGTGCTGTCTGTACTGGCATCCACCTTAAACACCGTGTTAATGAATCGTAAGGTAGGGTTACGTAACCGTAATGAAATAACACTTTTACAGATATTCAAACTTCCTGGCTATTTAAATTTTATTCTGTCCTTTCTCGTATAGTACAGTTTATTTTGCAGTCTAAAGTACTTAAAAAAATCAGTTTACTTCTCAGCTTCTGGTTTCAAACTTTCAGCCGGCTGTGCAGCGGTGCCTCTCAATACGGTGCGTATTGTACGCTGATGCTACTGATACGCACGTACTGTTCGCACCATGAAAACAAATAAACAAGAATAAATAAATTCAAAGTAACAATAAATTTGTCAGTAATTTAATTTGGCTTTTTTCAGTTTTTAGTTATTTTAAGCATCATTAATTAAGTATTTTTTTCCAAAAAACCTCAACTGTTCAGTTTTTTGAGGGAAAAAATTGATAATTAATAGTATTAATTTAATAGTACTTCAAATTATGACAAAAGTCTAAAACTAAAAAATTTTAGTTTAGTACTATACTTATTACTTAACAAGAGTAGTAACATTGCGAATGTTGGAGTGCATTTACATTGATTTTATAATTTTAATACCCCTAACAGTACAGAGTCTACGACCCTACAGACGGCCATTTGTTTCAACGGAATCACAGGTGTGAGGTGCGATCATTCGCCGATAAATCATCACCCCAGAAAATATTCAAAAGACTGCCCTTTAAAAAGTAAAACGCAATAAAAAGTTGACCGTCGGCAAGATCAAATCCAAAATATAAAACAGTAAAAAACCGTACCAAATCATCACAAAACTGCTTCCACGAATTCTGGAAGAGAGCTACAGCTGTGCCGGTAACTGCCAAAGTCCGAAGGTGTAGACCAAAGATCAACCCCACAAACAAAAAGCATAAATAAAAGTCGACAGTAATAATTTTATTCCCAGTCGACAAGTATATCCGGTTCCCATACTTTCACAGGAGCCAAGTATTCTGAATGCTTAATTCGCATGGTAAAAGCAGGACTGTGCGGTTTTGTTGTTAACCCGGGATAATACGTAGCCGGTCCGGGGTAGTTAAAACTGGACAGTGGTTGCAGTACTTTCCGTAGGGTATACGCCGGTGCTCGTATTTTAATCCGTTCTAAAGGAACCGCGTCGTAGCGGGCTGGTCCTGGGGTCTTCGCACGGTCATCGAAAAAATTGCCAACCAGCAACTTTCTAAAATAAGATACGGAAATAATTAGGAATTAGAAAACAAAAGTTGGAAAATGCTTCGCCCACGAAATAAGTTCTAATTCTGAAAAATTATTTACATTATTTGGTAGATTATCATGAAATTACAGTTACGCAGTACATTTAATGGCCTTTGTTAATTATTATAATAATTATTACTTATTTAGTTAGGTAAACCTAAGTTGTAATACTTGCTAACTCACATTCGCATTGAATATGCCGGTGCAGAACCGACAACTGGATGTCGCTGACCAACAATAGCGGGGATGCTGTAATGATTCGGGCCCGGAAAATTATTCGGTTTATCTTTCAGGCCCGGCAATGCCATGTGCCAAGCAGGAGAACGCGGATGTGTGGCATTAATAAACATGTGATTGTTATACGCAGCCGGCCCTGGCGTCTGTCAAAAACAACTAGCAATAACCAAAAATACTGGAAAAAGATTAAAGAATTTCGATTTGTAGTTAGTTGATTCGTTTACATTCATAGTTCTTAAAGGTTTCAACGTAATGCCCATGCTGTAGGCCGGCGGAAGTTCTTTTCCTCGATTGGTCATGTGCGTGGGAATCCCATACGCAGCTGGTCCAGGCGAGTTTGTCCAATCGACTGCATGCGCACAAACATTAACAGTTCATGCAAATACGTATAAGTAGTAGTAGTCTAGTATTAAGTAGAGTACGGGCACTTTTCAAATTAAAACCAGAAAATCCACATTAACATTGACACACTTATTTTCAGCTGGGGCCGCATGCTCCATTGCGGGGCTCGTAGTTTTGTTAAAATATGGTGCTCGTAGCCGAAGCATGGCGGAATGGAATATCCAGCCGGCCCGGGACCTGTTCGTAGAAAACAGTGTAAATCCGAGGCACAAATCATTCATTCACATTTGAATCATTTCTAGTGAAGGAAAAACCACCAACCTTTTATTTTGGCCGCAATAGGATAACTTTTCTTCGGCTGGATTTCCAACACCATTTTTGGTAGGTTATCCCGCTTGCGTTTCAAGTATTAACACGCAGATCCCATTCTTGTCATTATATAAAGTTCAAAAAAATCCTACCGACGACTACTGTGGATTTTTAAAGGACTGAATAATGTAATATCATTTCAATGCGGTATGACTGGTGTCGGCTGGATATCAATTTGCAGGCCATTCGGGAGTATCTGGTCGCAGCAGTGCTCGTTTAAACTTGGTTATAAAACAAAAAATTAGGCTAACCACTCAGTAGGGTCATATTATTAATGTTTAATAAACCAGCCTTAGCAACTTTAAAACAGACTGCAGTCCAGCTTCGCACTGCAATAATTACTATACTGTAAACAGCAATTTAAATTAGCATTTAAATTGTCTCTGTCCTCTGATTCTACAAAGTCCGATCGCAAAAGAAAAGCCATTGCGTGACGTTGTAAACTTCAAGGTTTTTTATCCAAATTTAAGCCACATCGACACAATTTATCTACAGAGCGCGCACACTAAACAACGTACCATACGAGATGGCTACGACTGACGAACCACAAAAATGTATCCGAAAAACTTTACCGATTTCTTAAGCGTCAAGTGATGGGTAGAGCGCACGCAAAGGGTAAATAAGGACTGCAAAATTCTTGAACTCTTCAGTTCACCGAGGAGGAGACATGGCCAAGTACTTGTAGCCTTTCAGAATTCTGTTCATAAGAATGCGCCTTCCCGATGGAGTCGCCATTCGTGCTTCGTAGGAGCCAAGGCGGAGACAGCGCAGCGGCGTATACTTGTATTCCACTCTGACTTTGCCTTTCGTCGATCGGGATCGGGCGGGTACGATGAGGCCCGATGGTTGTTGCAAGAGCTCACGGGATGTTGCGACGGCTGGCTGTCGGGAAACAGCGTGGAAAGCGCGAGTGGAAGACGCCGCAGATGCAAATGGTCCATGAGTGATTTCGCTACAAATCAGCGCAAGTAAAGAGTTAGAATGATATCGGGATAACAAGCAACACACACTTCCTACTCACATGAGGTTGTGAACACGATTTCGAGCCAAAAGCCCTGGCGCGGGGAACGCTTTCCCAATCTCAAATCCACCAAATAATCGGTTCAGCGGCTTATTCAGAAAAGGAAATGTAGTCTGGCTTGCCCTCAGCTGTTCACTGACAAACAAGGTGCGAAACATTCTTCTTAGAATCATTTCGGCATAAAGTGTTGAATCTAATGGTGAAAAATTGTAATTAATTTCTAAATGTGGATATTGAGAATCTGAGTTGAATATTGAGATGGATAATCATGGATGGACATTATCCGATAATGTAAAAATTAATTCGGTTCGATACCGTTTTCTTTCCCACACCACACTGCACTACGATACGTGATACGGTAGTTCGCGTACGACGGTGCTATCACCGATAAACTGGATAGACTGATAGAGGGATGAAGAAAAGCTGCATGAATTTGAATTTATGATGTACTTGGGTTATTTGCCATTTTATCATAATTTCTTAGAGAGTCAACTTAAACTTTTATTAATTTTTTTATTCAATCTGTAGTAATTATACCATTACGTTTACGTAGTAAACGAATTTGAACCATGAACATCTGTCGAGTTTTGGCACAACATGGGAGAAAAGCAGTGCAGACATCGCAGCCAGCGAGCATTAGTCAGCTCACTCAGCTGCGATTTGCTTCCTCAGATTCCTCATCGGATCTTCAGGACTGCAGTCCGAACAAGGATGTCATGTCTGTTCGAGATACAGTGGTCAAAGATCTTTCTCAAGTTGGACTTCCTATCCGGATGGCGCAGCCTCGAAAGATTGCAGTTCAGGAAAAAGTAAGCGCGGGATGCAGTACCTGAGCGTTTCATTAAACTGTCATGTTTACTGTTTAACTGGAAATGATCATGGAATGGGTCATTATGCTGTTTTCGAAAAAAATAATGTTTTGCCTTTAATAATCGAACAGTAACGTTGGTCTCGTGATTTGCAGGACGATATTACACCTTTTAACGGAGTTCCAAAAGAGCATGTTCACGGTCGCCTTGTGCGCATTTTCGTGCCAGCAAGAAACGCAATGCAATCTGGCACAGCAAATACAGTAAGCTCTGGATTTTTATCGTAGTAGATAAGTAGATACTTGAGTTTCTTGTGTTCTTCAGGCCCTTATTTTCGTATATGTCCGCACCAGCGTGCCTGTTTTTTAATGTAGTTGCCGTTACGAGTACGAATTATAATTATTACTAAATTTAGTTGAATCACTTAGTGTTCTGTAAAAATGTGGAATGTTGGACGAGGTGAATTCCACTAATTGAAAACCTTTTCTGTTGTTATTGAGTAGCATTTGTGGCGTGCGGAATTCGACACAAGAGAGCGCTGGGAGAACCCGTTGATGGGATGGGCGTCCACTGGAGATCCCTTATCCAACATGGTAATCAATTTCAATTCGAAAGATGAAGCCATCAAGTTCTGCGAAAAGAACGGATGGAAATACTTCGTGGAGGAACCATATGAATGGACGATGAAGCCAAAGTCCTACGGTGCTAATTTTTCATGGAATAAGAAAACAAGAGTTTCGACCAAGTGATCATCGGCTGAGACAAAAATTATCCATTATAGATGTGTACAGTAAAAAATAATGAATCGATTTGAAAGATTATTCTGGGTCATAATATGACTAAGCCGCTGCATTTAAAACCTACTTCGGATTTCCTAGTTTGCCGCTTTGCAAATCCATTGTCCATTGGTTTCATCTGAACGTGTGACTCGAACATAGACAACAATTTTATTGCTTCAAAAATGGGATTACCGATTACTGTATGTGCTTGTCGTTGATAAAAACTTCTCTTGAATCTTTCAAACATGTAAATTCTCAAATTGACTACTGCAGTTGGACATGAACAGAAACTTGAGGGCAGTTTCGGAACTGATATAAGAAATTTGCTGTTTAAGTTTATTTTGAATTGTTGTAAAAGGCAGAAAATGGCTTACAGTTATTGCCAGGATGCTGACTTATCTTTTGAAGTACATCGTGGGAATGAAGCTCGAAAGATGTGCAACTTAAAATAGGTGTTCTGTATTGAAATCATAATTTCATATCCGCTATAAAGGACGTTTTGCAACCAGCGACTAGCGTTTCGCATAGTTGTCTTTATCAAATGATACGCAATAAAAACCGAACACTTTAATTGTATACGGCACCAGAATTAAAAAGACATACAACACTTCATGATTGCATTAGGACACAAATACAGAGAGCAATTTACCTGCCAATAAATAGCTGCCGCTTGGCAGAGAAAAACCAGAATCAACACTCAAAAGTTCAACACTTACTGCCTAAGAGGGTAAATTACAAATAGAGAGCTTAAAAGGGGAGGGCGTCATTCACATAACAGCAATCTCATTGCATCTCGCAAAAATCACAACTGGATACCATTTTCTCGCACTCGTCCAGAAAATCAAAAAGAAGCAATTAAAATAAACGCCTTTCTTGGACAAATTAATTACCAAAATAATTTTTTACAAAATAAGTATTAATCTTTTTGAAACAAGAGGAATAAAATTCGTCGCTTTAAGGTAGTCAGCATAAATCCAGGACAGACCTCAGCATTCACGAGATCAAGATGATTTACCAGAGAACTGGCTTGTGATCAGTCTGTTCTTTGACATACTGCGTGAAACGCTTAAGAAACTTTGGATATTCACGCTTGTACACCGCGCGAAGGACGGACGCGGGAGCCCATCCACCTGGATTCACTGGAAAAAAAGATCACTGTATTATTACACGTCCCCGGCATTTTACATGACGTTATACGAAACCCTCATGTATGGAGGGGACTAAAGTTAAAGTAAGTAAAAACACCAATGTTCGCCATTAATAGCATGCCTCGTTTAAATACTACGAGGTAACCTATAATTTTTTAACCATTACCACTGCATACTGAACTCAATTTGATGGAAACCATTACAATTCAAACTTGCCATTGTTACCAATTCTAGATTCAGCGAAGAATTTTATGAAACCAGTTTACAGGCAGTTTCAGAACATTCTCCGTTCAATCTTTATAGAACCAAAACTTTGGCACTTCAATCGAGCTGGCCGGTATTTTATTTACCTGTGGCGCAATAGATGATCTTTGTGGTGATCTGGTCCCTGCTGATCTGCTCACGCGGCAAATGTGCAACATTGGCATCGATGAATGTTTGGCAAGTAAGCGAAATGGTTAAAATAACCCGGAGGCATTTACCGGTCTGCAAACGTACAGGTAAACAATTAAAAGCGTTTCCGTACTTTCGGTGCAGTCAGCAGTCAATTTTATGGGCACCGACATTCACTGAATGGATAGCGCGCAGTCACCATTTAAATACGGACAATGTTCCAGTACTGTACTCGTTTACCATTTCACATTAACAACAGCGTAATGTTACGCGCCCTGAAACTGCTTATTCAACCTTTCAAATTTTAAAATGTACACAAAGTACATACATATGTCTGATGAAAATGCTTACAAATCTCGCCTGAAAAAGTTTTCTTCTACGAATCCAAAACAAAACACATTCCTTACCGGAACGGGCGGTACCTCCACGGAATGGTTGCATACAATCCAACTGTTTACTGGCACTAATTTATCATCATGGTGATTCTGTACATTCTCCTTCCCATCCCATTTGCGCATATGTGACCAGAACAATGCATCACGTTGAGCCGCTGGCCAAACACGTTTGTGAATCTGGTGAAATATCATCGTATCGTCCCGCAAACGCTCGATCACTTTCATGCTATCCACAGTGACTATAGAAAAAAGGCCATCATTTCACGGTCGTTCGAATCAGAATTACAAGAAAAAACCTTACACTCCCATTCCATGCGCACATCAGGGCTGAAAAAGTAATGGCACATTTCATGGGCCGTAAAGCCTCGCACGCAATGCTGCGCCTTTAAGGGATCGACAACCAAGCCGTCTTTTTCCTCTTCCCGTTTGTACATCTTCATTTCACCATCTTCATTAAACAGCTGCCAGCCACCTTCCCCAACACCGAGGAGGGCATATTTGAACTGCTCACTGGTAACCTATATGCAAGGGAAAAAATCCGCACTCAAAACAGAAAATGTTCCAAGCACTTAAGACTCTGTATCAAATTGTGTTCCTCACTTGTTCGATCTCCTCCCAAATGTCGTCAGCTTGTGCGGGAGATATGGTCGTCAACTGAGTCTTCATGGCCAGGCTGTCAGCAGGCACTGCGGCCTTGGGAACATCTTGAGTTGATTTTTCCTCAAACTCTTTGTCGACTTTGTCTAATGTGGTCTCAACGGCGTCGAAAAATTCGTCCTCTTTAATAGCACTCTGGGGACCTACAAATAGAGTTCGTCAACAAAAACTCTCCAATATTCACCAAGTTTGTATGACAATTGAAATAAATCTATGACTTCAGATAATATTTGAACAGAATTTGGATGTCGATGGAAATGACTGAACACAATTGTTACCAGCAAGTGTATTTCTGGCAAAAAAAGTAATTAATACTACAAAATTTCACCATTAACTCAAATTAAAGCGGAATGTCCGTCGTCGAAAGAACCACATCAGACTATCTAAAAAATGATATTTAAGTAATAACATAATAACAGGACTGCAACCTTGGAAACAGTCATCCTGTTCTAATGGCTGTGTACCAAATTACGAGTAGAAGCACGTACCAAATGATCGACTAATATAAAATCTTTTTTATCTCAATCACTTGTAGAAATAATTGTGTAGTTTAATATAGTGGTAACAATAATGTTAGAATTCATCCTTCTCAAAATTTTCGCCTGTCACTGTTCATGCACCTGAGCCTAATCAATGTACACACTTAGACTATACATTTTACGCATAATTGCGTATCAAGTTTTGGAAGTGCATGCCATATCTACAAAAAGCAAGCCATACCTTCTTCATAATCTGGACTACCATAAACTCTTTGTTTTTGTATTTGTTCCTGAAGGCTACGCACAACTTCCGTTGTCTCGCGATACATGGTTTCCGTACGCTTACGGCGCTCCACTTCCTACACATTTTAAATAAGATTATATTGACATCTACTTCAACGGCGATCGGCAATATTTCAGCTGCTAAATATCACCTTTTCTAAACGGCGTTTCAATGCGTCTTCCCGCTGAGACATCAAATCCATACAATGGCGCACCGTCTCTAATAAGCCAGCGGTTGTGGCACGAAAGGTAATCGCTTCGCCTTTGAAATCTGGTCCATGGTGAGCGTGTTGCAGTTGAACTTCCATGGGAATGTCTACACGCATAACACACTCACTCACTGCACACTGTATTATCGAAAGATGCAAATGATAACCAATAACTTTGCACAATAATAAATTCCGGGGAGAGCTGGCTGTCAATTATCAGTGAAACTGATTTGAATGCTTACGCGATACATCGCTATCCAAAGCGGTTCGATCCCGCACCAAAGTCAAATCGACATCCATATCTTCATCGCTATCTGCATCCATGCCGCCATTTTCTGAGCGATGACTCTCCGCTTTATGGGCAGCTAGGGTCTCGGCGCACGTATCGAAATAGCTTTGTAAGGTATCCACTTGACGTATTAAAATATCTTTAAAGGTCTCCATCTCAGCCAGCTTCTCTTGTAACGCTCTTCCAGTCTAAAACAATAAACTTTCACGCTCAAAATACTCATACGAAATAGTATTCTACAATCAAGCTGTAGGCAACATGGTCTTCACTCTCACACTCTATTAGTCGAAGAGCTAATATGGACTTTTGAGGAACATTATTGGACATAATTATACGAATTTCTGTGATTACTCTCTAAAAATCCCACAACTTAAAAGCCAAGAAATCGAAAAGAAACTACAACAATTTTCTCCATATAATTTATTTACACTGCTATATAATATCGTCATTAAGCGTTGCAAATTTGTAATTATCTATGCTTATAAAAAATAGGTGAAGTGTATACGGTAACCATCTGGTCTTCATTGGGTAAACCTAAATCCATAATAAAAACGAAACTTAGGTGTATTAATAGTGTATTTACATCCTTAAATTTGTACATAAATCTTTCATCGGTTCATTTTGTCAGTAAAACACTAAACGCCAGTCTTTCGGAAATTATGGCTTATAAAACACCATGCGCCTTTATCGATCGGAATGTTCCGCGCATTACTACAGCGCTTCAACTCATAGCTAGTGATCAAGAAAATACTACAATCATAGGGAAAACGGTTAAGTTTTTCAATTTTCAAGTAGGATACATTGACAGGCAGCAAATACATTCTCGGCAAACAAATCGATACTTCGTAACACAGACGGTGAAGACAACATACAATTCTATGAACACCTGGGCCACTACCTTACCTTGTGCGAAGAGCTGGAGGCAGTGGATAGGCTGGCGGCGGAAGTAAGGGATAATATCGATCCATGGCGACGTAAACTGCCATCACTACCGTATCCCGATTCCAAAATTGACTGTCAATGAATTCATGATAACCATTAATTCAGCTTAAACAAACGAGTATAAAACTATACACTAAACGTAAACAGCCATTTGTGTTGTATGGCAAACGTTTTGGACATCTTTACATACAAAGAATTCCTTCCAATCCCCTGCTATACACATTTTAACAGGCACACTGGTACCCTAAACTGGTAGTCTGGTACGTACCCTAATAAAAATACCACATGAGAATCAGAGCAAAATTACCAATAAATATTTTTCAAAATTTTTGCAGTTTTGTGGTCAGATTCTTCATCATTTCTCGATGTGCTCAGCAAGGATAAGAAGATACCTTTTACGCTTTACTAACCACCCTCCAATTCTCAAGCTATTAACACAGACTGTTTTATTTTAAAATTCATCATCTTCAAATTCTGAGCACATTTGTCATAACTTAGTCCGAATACACTGAAACAGCTGACAAGGCAGAACAATAATCTGAACAAGATTATGCGATTGCTTAATAGCAAAATTATCGATGAATAAACACCCTACTATTTGAAATCTTAAACGATAGTATAGGACGTTATCGCCAAAGTGACCCTACATTTCATATCCGAGTACCGATTCGTTTCTTAAGTTGTGGTATACGGCTGCAGTTATGAAATTTTCGCATAAAATAACGCACAATCGAAATTTTCTGCACTACAAATGTCAGTATATACAGTACTAACAACTGTAAGTTTCTATTGACAGACCACAACTCATAAGCCAGAGTCGTTGCATTACGGTTAGATTTATTGTACGAGTATTGGCTTTTTTTTTCTTTCTCACGTCTAACATACAACATTTCGATGGCGACTGTTACCTTGTGCTCTTTCAGCGCCGTAATCCAACGATTGCGTTCTTCAGTAGTCTCCGCACGAAGGTACCAGATATTCTCACTGACAACGACATCAAATCGACAATTATCAAATTCATGTGCCTGCAAATACAGAACCAAGAGTTACCGTACAATGGAATGCAGTTCTGCAACTTATTTTCGGTCATAGATTCAATGCCATGTCTGCACCTATCTACCGTATTTGAACACACAAGTAACACACTTTCAATACGAGTACAGCACGGCAAAATACCATAAATCAAGAGCAAATGCACAGCACACAGAGTGCAGACGGTACAAAAATGGGCACAAACCGGAAACAAAATGCACAGGAAAAGGTTCGACTAAGGGAGCCTACGAAGGTTGAACCTCCCGGTACAAAGTCTGTTAAATTCTACACTTACTGTTTCTAACAATTTAAACACGACCATGTGATTCATCAAAACAATTTCCTCAATCAAAAGTGCAGGAATAAACGGTACAGACTACAGAACTTGCGAAAAACGCACCTCATGAGTTTCAACACTAAAATTATAACGTACTGCCTGATTTCACTGATGACCCAACAAAAATGACTGTTGCTTTGTATTATGCACGGAAGATCAAGCATTTAGTCCCAATACAGTGAGAACGGACTCTCTGCACTTTTAAATTCTATATGAAGCATGTTATTTAAAAGTTCGGCTGCAATCTCGTTAAAATGGTCTGCCGTATGATCAATGATTATCCTACAGAAACATTTATGCAAAAAGGAAGAAATTACAGTGTTAGTGTGAATGTTAGCCAGCAGTCTACACGCTGTGTGAATTCTCACAAGATCATAAATAGATCAAATTTGCTAACAGTGTAAAAACGAACGTCTAAAACATTCTGCAAGAAAATGTCCACAATATAAATACAGCAGCTTTTCGCGACAAAATCGGTTTAAAAAGGAAGTATTTTTCTATGAGGAAGATCTAAGAAAAAAGCGCCATTTCAGTCAGTCAGAAAGACAAACTACCGATTCATTCAACATCCCCAGACTTTATACATTGTGACTGCCTGTGAGCCTGGGCCTGCCGAGGCAAAAAATTCCGTTTTAATATATGTAATTCACGATCAGTACAGACACCCTAAGACAGGCAACTAAGTGGAGGAACAGAAAAAATTTCAAAAAATTCATTCATACCTGCACCACAGCTTGGCGAATATTTAAAGCCCCGCGACATCCCAGCGTCTGATCGTTCGGAGTTTTATAATAGCTTAGGCAGCCGTTCCTCAGCACGATGAATCGTTCTTGCCAGCCATGGAAATAGTTAGTCCACTTAAAAAGTTTTCCACTGCAATCGGAAAGAGGGGGCGTTCGCGATGGTTCCAGCACTTCGCCTTCGTCTTCTTCCGATGTGCATGGTGACCGGTCCACCGGAGCTGCAGCTGGTTTGACTGTTTCTTCCATTTTCTGCTGCAGCGTACCGGAGGAGGGAGGAGAAGAGGAGGGAGCTTGCAGCACTTTAATTTCACGGCCCCATAGCTGGATAGTTGTCGTAGCGTTCAATGTCCCTGGATAAACCATGGAGGCAACTGATTTGGTACAGAACAGCGATGCCGTGATGAAGAAACAGCAATTCAATCGCTGATCTCCGATTCACGTTGGAACGGATGAATAACAATTTACGCTTCTCAATTTCAGCAGTGGTTTCCTGGTGATCGGAAACTGTCCTGTGTGGGCATACCTCTGACTACCAGATTTATTACGCACCGTAGATGAGAAACCGTTTGCGAGTGTTAGCAGTTAGCGCCAAGTATTTTTGTCATCATTTTGCCCTTTTAGGTGGGCTAAAAATCGATGAACGAGAACCGCAGGGCGCAGGCACGCTGCACAGTGGCTGCACGATGTACGTAGAACAGCGTACGCGGTACACGCTACACGCATCACCCTGCGGATGTGATCCGACGTATAACCATAGAGACAATGAACATACGCCGCGTCTCTCTCCGCTCTGTATGACAGGAGTAATCAGTCTCTCTCTAGTCCTTTTATATACATTGTCCGGATGCTCGGTCCATAATAGAGAGAAACTTTTCGGTATAGATGACGTCACAAATACCCTTGGCTGCTGAGCGTTCACTGTGTTCACTGTCTTGGTCTGTGAATAAGTGGTTGGTGGTCTGTTAACACAGTAAGTGGCTGGTCACCGCGATTTCTTCCAAGCATAAACAATAGAGCGATTAATCAAGATTAAATGCAATTACATCCAGACAATACTAGGAGATTTCTTTAACCCGTAAGAAACGTAACAACTAACAGCTCACACGAAATTTAGTTGCCATCGCACTGAGTAGGCTGTATGCATGTTAAATTTTGTTGAAATAATGCTTAACATTTGACTATAGCCTGCTAGCGTTGACTTGTATGTATTAATTTGTGTTATATATTATGCGGCATTTAAAATGCCAGATTACTGTTATGTTCCAAACTGTCCTAATAAAAGAGGCACTAGCAAAGCGTTATCCTGGCATACATTTCCTTCGCGAGACAAACATCCTGATAACTGGCAAATCTGGTTTAAGTTTTGTCAATGCGCTGAAGAACCGTCCACTGCTGCAGTAATATGTTCCGACCATTTTGTTAATTCTGATTATCACTGTGCCTATCAAGCGGAGTTATGTGGCCGAGTACGCAATCGCCGGCTTTTAGACGATGCAGTCCCATCACGTAACAGTCCCACGGATTTAAGGCCTCATGGATACTGCAGCCCAAAAAAGAAACGTGCTTTATCTGCAGGTATATCACTAAACTAACAACTCAAGCAGTTACTTTTAAGCATAATACAGAATGATTCGGTAACGACGAATTGTCAGTGTATTCGGTTGTAGCGTGAATTTAGTTTTATATATGTTTTTATCGCTATTTGACGCTTATTAATTTGTCGAATATAGCAACAGTTGTATAGCATATGCATAATGTAATATGTGCATATATCATTATGTATGTATGTGTTGTACGTAAATACAAGTAGGATATCTGATAATAGGATATCAGTTTCATTACAGTGTTAAGTATTCTACTTCTTTGTATGTATAAGCGCCATTTTACAAAAGTGCTATATGTTTAGATTCCGTGCAATATGCCTGCTTTGACGACATGGTGCGCGATGTTGGAAACCTGACCTCCAAGCTTTTATGCTTAATCTTGCCTTTATCTAACAACGATAGATTCTGCGTTTTCTACCGAAGTAAGCCGGAAGCTGATTCACCATCTCACGCTTTTGAACGATGTCTGTTCTACCGTAACTCATTGGCGCCATGTTTCGAATCTTGTGGTCGCCGTGTCATTCAAGAAGGCCCATTGGACATTGTCGAGTCCCGGGCGCATTTGGACCGCCTGTTGTCCGAACTGGAATCTCTGAATTCATGTCCTGGCCTATCGTTTGCGAATCCCAATGTCTTGCATAGCTTTGACACGGCTTATCTGGATCAGTCAACAGTGCCAGCTGTGTATCGCGACCAACACTGCAAACTGCTGCATCATCCGACAATTAACCGTGTCCGGTAAGTTTTTTGTTGTAAGCATTACATGTGCTGTAAAGTATATGTAAGTACTCTGCAGTCTGCACTAACCATACACAATGTATGTAAATACTTTACAGTATATGTATATATTCACTGTTTAAGAATTGTTGGTAACTGTATTAATATTATAATTATAATATAATAAACTAATAACATATAGTATATATATGTATTCACTATGGAGTAGCAGTTACTGTATTTATATCATTATTTTCTATTTTCGTTACCTACTACGCGTTGTAGAGGCGAAGCATGCGCTTTACAGTATATATGTATATATTCCACACTTCTAATACTTTATAGTATATATGTATATATTCACTGTGTAAGTATTAATATTCGTTACTAACTACGCGTTGCAGATGCGAAGCATGCGCCAGTTTCCAAAAAACACTTGGCAAGCGAAAGAAGCGTTTGTCTGACGAAGCTCCGAATCTGAAGACTAACCACAAGTTCCTAAGGAAAGCTGACTTGGCAGATGTTGCTAAAACTTTAGTCAGCCAGAAAGCCAGCGCATTAAAGACCTCCAAAAGAAAAGTCTTGCAGTTGGAAGCGGCTAAGGCAAAGATCAACACTGTGCAGGAAATGGCATCTAGCATCTGGCGTGAAAACTTGGATGGTTTGCCCTGACGATACCCGCGAACTTATCCAGACGATGATAGGACTGCAAGATGCCGAAAAACGGCCGTCGTTATCCTGATTTTATCAAAGAAATTGCCATAGCAATGCAGGTAAGATTGATATGTGATATAGTATTCAAAACTTATTAAAAGGATTCGTTCGTAATTAATTTTGATATTTTATATATGTATTCATAATTAATTGAAAGGAATTATTCATAGTTATTATGTTATTAATATGGGTATAAGTGTATTAATATTTAGGCCAAATGGGACCAATGGCTACGAGTTTGTGCGATCATTGTTGCCGCTTCCAAGTACTAGCACTGTTGCAAGCAAGGCTACGTCGTATGCCGAAAGCCTGTGGGCTAACTTCCTTCATGGTGCAACTGTTAGCCGAAATTCGTAAAAGCCACGTTGATGAAGATCGTGTCGTTGCTTACCACTGGGATGACACACTTCTGGAAACGGGGGTGTATTATAAACCTAAAGTAGACAAGGTTACTGGAATGCCAGAAATAGAGCAAAAATATCTGGATTTATTCCCGGCGATAGCGAAGAAAAAGCAAAGCACCAAGCCAGCTAACAAGGTTACCGTTGGCGTCCTTTCAGGCTTGCGAAAACGTTACAATCATCCTGTGCAGTACCATATGACTTACGGAAATATCCCAGGTGATGCGCGAACTTTAAGCGATTTTTTTATTGCATTGTTATTAATAAAAAGCATACAACTTCTGCCGAAATAAACGTAGTAACTCGGAGTGCGAATGTAATATCGAGCCATTTATCCTAGCGGCTACGGAAATTTTCGTGCAGTCTCTTCTTACTATGCATGTAAAACATAAGACTTTAATGGAAAAGTCTCGCCGGTACGGGAGCTCCAAATCAAAGCACGCCTCTGCCGTTCTCAAAGCAATCAAGTACGGATATGCACGACCTGAGTATGATGTAAGTATCAAGTATTAAGAATTCGTCATCAAATTTAAATAATTTGCCTTATTGTTGGATAATTTTACTTATTGTTGGATTTTAAATGTGTATATTCTCGGGTTTGTAGGACTGCGAGGAGGATGAAGATGGGGGAATGTGAAGGTTTTGTGGTTTTGATCGTTTTTGTTTTAATTTTTTCTGTCATATCTAGTACTTTGTGATGCATTACATTGATTGGTGCGCATACATTCGTTTCGTTACAGTGCATTATTAACGTTTATTGCTCGGCCGCTATTTTTGCGACCGCAAAAAAATGAATTATGAAATAGACCAATCATGACACAGTTCATTGTTCAGTTGAGGAACAGGGCGGAGCATGTCATAACCCGAGCATCCGACCAAAGTTTTATGACTGTGATTGCTCCTGTCATACAGAGCGGAGAGAGACGCGGCGTATGTTCATTGTCTCTATGGTATAACCAGGATGTACTTTTGTTATTAATGGTAAGCGTGAGTCAGAGCCAAAGGCCGCAATTTTGTATTAATTTTAGTACAGCAGATCTCGACACGACCATTACTCACCAATGATTCACCCTTACCAAACTTAAGTGGACCAATCCAAAATTTCAAAAAACGAGTGTATCGAAACCTGAAGCAGCAGGCAACTGCCACCCCATAAAGGAAGTCAGGGAAACTGCTAGCAGCCTGCAGTCTCTGCATACCTATTACTAACTAGCTATAGTTCTAGATCTGCGGGAATGGGCAGCTGTTCGAGGTCACCACGGTCTTATGGATACAACCGAAAACGGAGACGGAAGCCCAGAGCCCCAGACACAACTGCTGCAGTTGTATGGAAATGTTACAGCACGGTTTTCTCGTCGAACTGCAGTAAGCGACTCACGAACGACGAGCGGATACTTAAATGTCCATTTAAAGACTCCAAACGGTGTCGCAATTTTACTACGGGAAAAAAGGATGTGCTGACTTAGGTCCTTACGCGCCCATCGACACTCGATGGCCTTATTCGAGCGAGATCCAAAAACAAGAGCGAAAGCATTTGCGGCACCGGTCGCGCGGTGAGGCGGCGACCTTGCCGGCCACAAGCGTAAGCCTTAAGGTCCCGAAGTACCTCAATAATAATACGTACGTGTCGTTCAAGACTACCTTTTCTGGCCCTTAGACTTTCAAACTGGGCATCTTGGATGGGAGTCGAACCGCTTAATCCTGGGAAGTGTGAAAAACATCGTACCGGAAACAGGTGAAGGAGGTATTGCATTGCGCCTTCTTTACCTTTTTAATTGCTCTAACCGTCGTAAAATTTTAATAAAAAATCCAATTTGCATGCTCACATGTACATGAATTGTAGCTAAATTCTCTGTACGGAATCATACAAGAATTATTATATATAATTACTTAATCGTAAGAACTGTCGCCTTCGAACTGGCGCAAATCTAGTGTGCAAATGCAAGCAACAAAAATGCTGCCGTGTGCACGTGTTTAACATGGAACATCAGGCCGGACCGGCATACCAGCGATTTCATTTTTTTGTAACTTAACGCAGACCACTGAGAATACACACAGTTTCTATTTACGCTTTGATTGTTGATACGTATTTATGATATTACAAGTGCTTACTTCCACCTGTTTGCTGGTTCCCGGCTCATGTTTTAACTTTTAGCCTACATAGTACAGTATTGTAGTTAGTAAGTGCAGTGTTATTGAAAGGATACGAGTTGAGTACTCGTACCGGGAGCAGTTCACCTAAAAAGTGTTTGAAAGACAT